TTGGTACACCGGCTCGATCAACATTGAGAGTCGGATTTCCGGATCGCTGCACGAGACCTGCAGCTGTTATCTTGATGAATGAACAAAAACATGGAAGTGTTACACAAAAATTGGGTGTCTTCTGAATTACATCTGTTAGACATGTAATTATTATGGGAATACGATCGGAATGGTTATCATTTTTCATTTTTGAAAACAACGAAATGGTAAAAGTGAAAATGTAGACTTTAAACTCTCGTGACTGCAGGAATTCATATTCTTGGTTCTTTCGGTAAAGTCACGTAGATAGAAAACAAAAATCTAAATTAAAAGCAAAAAACCCACGACGTTTCGATCGCAATATGGTGAAAGTGCACTTTAAACTAGGCGCTGATGCTCTACCGACGTGGAATGAATTGCATTTGCAATTCCAGGGAGACTACTCTAGCCAGTCTCCTGGAAGCGGCGCTATATGAATCCTAAATAGAATAGAAGGAAATACTTTACAAAATAATTATTGAGTTGGTGATGAGTTTTTATATTTTCAGGAGAGAGGCTGTTTGAAACTATTGAATCAACGTCATCACATATGCGGGCCCTTTGGTGTGCTATTTTTTTGTGTGGTAGAAGAGTTATAGTTACTTGTGGGAAGAGTGGCTCTGACCGTGCAATTTTGAACGTTTCCCACTGTATGCATTCAATGCAGAGAACACGGGAAGAGACTAAACTAAAATGTAAACGAAACTTTTGTAATTTACCAGGAAGGGCCCACGAAGTGTGGCTTATCTCGTGGAAATATATAGTAACAGCCAAACACTCTAAACGCGCGATGCTGATTCTAAATGTGGAGGTAAAACACCGGAGGACCTGAAGAAAAATCCACGCGACCACGGGCAGAGGAGAGACACCGCAAACTCCAAATATACAACGGGCCTGAGGAGTCGGGATCGAACACCACAACCTCCTGCATAGGAAGCGAGAGAGTTAACATCTCCCAGCCACCGAGACGGAGTAAGAACAAAATGAAGAGACTGCTGCGAAACACCCCCAGGGCAAGGAAGACAGGCGGTGGCAGGAGTCTCACAGAGCGGCCCCGCGCAGGCCCCTCAGGGGGGCCCAGCCGGCGGCTCCGCGGCTCGGCCTCGCGATCCCCCCCGGAGCGACCGCACGAGACGGAGTAAGAACGGAGTAAACAGAATGCAGTGAAACTCCCGGACCCTGATCCGCCCTCTGCAGCGTGCGTTCAGCGCGATCACACGTGGACAGGGGTTGACAACCTGTGGATCAGGAGCCCCTTGCGGCTCTTTAAAGACGGCTGCTTCGTGATAGTTATGTATCATGGACCACTACCCTCTCGTATTCATCACAGTGCATTGAGGCTCTTGAAATGTTGAGGTTTTTTTTTACTTTACAGAATTCGAAAAAAATAAATCCTCTTCTTGTTGTTTTGGTAGACTACCCATCTGCACGTGAACAATGAAGTAAAAAATGTCCGCAGCTGTTGGATTTCCATCGTGACTGCTGCGATGGACACTGCATCAATGCTGCCTTCCGTCACGGTTGGTGCGGTTGAAAAGTGAGGTCTTAGCCGAGTGATTTAGGGATAACTATTTTTTCCCCCTCTTAACGGCAAGCGTGCTCATTGGGCAAAGTCGTTTCTTTTAATTAACCGGCTGGACATCGTTCCTCCGTTGTTGCTACTTGGCGAAAGCCAAATGGCACCAAACCCAAATACGGGCGGCAATCAGGCAGAGCGGAATATAAAGCGTGCGTTTTGGTGAGCTCACGTTGGTGATTGAATGGTGGCGGGGGGAACTCCAGTGATGATGAATTACATCGGGGCTGGCATGTATCCCCCTCCGTATCGCCCCGTATGTTCGTTAGCAGCACGTCAGACGCTGCGGACAGTGGCAGCCCGCGAACACAATATATCAATACTGTAATACCAATTCCTGCTGAGATTCGATCTCCTGGCGCGGCAGTTGAAGCATTGGGACGGCTTCTTAAACACCCAGCAGTATAAACGGAGACACCACAATGTATCGGCAGGCCGCGGCGTGGTGCAGTAAAGTGTGGGCACTCCCACTTCTAGATGTCTGGCCAGTGTGAAAGAGTAGGCCAAATACCCTCGACGGAAGCTCTCCAGAGTTCTGCTTTCGTGGAGGGCCCGTCTGCCAGCAGTGGTCTGGAGAAGCAATTGCATGGGGCTGCCTCCTTTTTCATCTCTATGCTCACAGCGGGGCTTTGATGATAATGCGAGCGAGCAACGGGTTTGGGCGAGGTCTCACTCTCCCCGAGCAGAGACGGGAGAGCGATGCCCACGGTCTCGAGGGTTTTGCTCTCCTTTCACGCCCTGGTGCCCCAGGACTCTATCCGCACCGCATCCTGGGCTCAGCCGAGGGTAGAATCGAGCTCCGGGCCCCCCACAGTCGCCTCGAAGCCATATTGCCCGTACGTGCGTGCGAGCGAGCAGTCTTCATTAATATTTAATACATTTTCACACCGATCATAAATGACGGCAGCGAATTGAGCGCTCGCCCTCATATCCCCTTGCAGTAGCGGGGCATGGGGGGGGGAGGGGGCTTAACGTGAGTGACCTACCTTGACCACGAGATGTGGGCCCAGACGATTTAATTTTTTAACTCTTCCAGGAATACAAGCTGCGCCGCATCACCAAGCGCGGCGAGGTAACGAGCTGCAATAGAGATCTCACAAGCGGCTGTAGGACTCTCCATCAGCGTCCCAATGAAGGCCCTAATGACGGCCCTGCGGAGAATAGATTTCATGATTGAAAATGATAAATGAGGTGGTTTGAGGGGCACAGAGGACGAATTACGCACTGGAGCACCGACCCAGCACTGCCGAGATCCTGGGTTTGAAGCCAGGAAATGACTCGCAATGGAAAACTCATTTCTCTAAAGTGAGAACTAACTTCTTTAGAACTGCTTTCTGTGTTTACTTTGTTGTGCTTCCCCGCTCCTCCGATTAGCACGGTTGGCTACGTACGCTGCGAAATTAGTTACACATGCATACACTTATGATTAAAACTGTGCTTATTACAGCTCTCGCAAAATATATAATACGAAAAAAAATCGTTTTAATTGCCATGCAGAGCACATGATAGAAAGGCCTGATGAAATAATTCTGCTGGGACCATTGTTAGCGGTGACAGCTCTACATTTCATTATTTTGTGGCGTGACTACATGGACGCCAATTGCGCGATAGTTTTTGTAAATTAAAAATAAATGTAAAAAAAACTGATGGGCTTTCAAGGGAATGTTTGCTGTAATGGGTGGTTTTGTCTTGACATTCCCTGCACACTTTTCGTGTATTTATGTTAATTGATTTTTTTTTATATACTTTAACAAGAACCTGGCAGAAGGCACAAACTGGAACACTTTTCGTGTATTTTACGTTACAATTGTTTTCCTTTCATCCCATTCCGAAACACAAATGCGTTGAACAAGACGTGCGGACGTAGCTCACACAGACGAGATGTCAACTATCTCGCCCGGTATACAGGAGGTCGTGGGTTCGATCCCGACCCCGACGCCTGCTGCTGCTGTATATTTGGAGTCTGCGTTTCTCTCTCCCCGTGGTCGCGTGGATTTTTCTCCGGGTTCTCCCGTTTTTTCCCGTCACGTTCATAAACACGCACTCACAGTATTTGGCTGCTGCTATGAGTTTCCACACGATGAGCCCCTTCGTTGAGCTATCAATTGTGATAGCCAGGTCGCTTCTGAAAAACAGCTATATTGTATAGCTCATCGGGCCTTACCTGGTCAAATAAAACAAATATTATGGTTCTTAGGTTCATGATAACTGCATCTTCGCATGGAATTTGTATAAATCCTACCTTGAGGCTAATGGAGTGAACAAAACATTACAAACGAGGGAGACAAAAAAACAACAAATAACATAAATGTGATATTAAAAACCAGACGAAAATATTATTATTTCATTGAATTTAAATCCGCCGAAACGCTAGAGGGTGAATCATTACAGGCTTAGTCTTTGAGGTAAAGAGACAGTGTTCGTGATGTCGGTAAATGTGCAGCTCTGAAACGTATTCCTCACACGACTGCTGCAGCAGCAGGGCCTCCACTAGAGGGAGCTCTGAAGAGTACTTGGCCTACTCTTCCACGCCTGGTCAGATGTCTTGGAAGCGGTGGGAGTACTCACACTTTACCCCACCACACGTGACCTACCAATCAACTAACTATGGTGTGCCCATTGTATACAGTATTGCCTAGTGGATAGCTGCGGTGGAGGGGGGGGGGGATGTAAGATATAATTTACGTAAGATATGATTTCGACTGCCGCACCAGGAGATCGAACCGGCAAACTCTCAGTTGCAAGCCAGGGCAGTATCCCTCGGCAATGTTTCCGTGTCAGGGCGTGCGAACGTTCGTGCCCTCAAGTCCGTACGGGAGTCCTCTGTGTATGTTGAACTTCTTTCGCGCCGTACGTAGCCAACCGTGCTAATCGTAGGTGCGGGTGAAGGACAGCAAACTCAACACAACAGGCAGTTCTAAAGAAATTCGTTTTCAATCAAGATGATTTAAAAGTACATAGCTCGAGTGGCTTCCTATAGCACGGTTGGCTCCGTACGGCGCGAAATAAGTTCAACATGCACAAATACATACAATATAGATACCCAAGCTTCCACAGGATCAGGCGATTAATCTCCTATGGCGCTGCGTGTGGTGCAAGTGGTGGGGAGGCGCTGGTGTAGCGAACCCGGCTACCCCGAGTTCGATTTCCGCTCATGGCCAACGCCAGTGATGATAGTTATCTGAACCTGTCATGGGGCTCCCCTAGGTCGACTCAGCCTCAATTGAGTACCTGGTGTGGTGTTTAAACGTCACCACTTGGAAGACAAGGGCCAGCCGGGCGTGGGGCCTGCCACCAACCACCTCGTGTGCCGTGCCGGCCTTCACAGGTGCTACTCGCTGACAGCGCTCGCCCCGACATTCCGTTGAGCCTACACGGCGGGATCTTTGCATTTGTCTCGGCGCAGGTGTCGCGGGCGCAGGAGAGGAGTGGTCCGAGTGGAGCGTGTGCTCCTCGTCGTGCGGCGAGGGCTCCCAGGTGCGGGCCCGTGTCTGCCTCGCGTCGTCCAAATCTGCCGCGTGCTCTGGGCCACTCCGCGAGATCCGCGTCTGCGACAGCTCCTCCGTGTGTCCCGGTGAGCGGCGCGTACTCAGCGGGACACGCGGACCGTGATCACCGCAGGTGTTCTCATTCATTGCTCAATGGTTTAATGTGCCATTCTGTTGAGGGACTGCTGTGTTGCTGTGTCGGTGCGGTCTGGGACCGTTGTTGTTTTTGCCGCCTTTTGCCCAGTCTTGACAAATTGTACTTATTTCACAAATGTATTTATTTATATTTAGAGACTTGTTTACCATTTGTCTCGTATACATTATCGTTTGTTTTATATTGTTTGTTGCTGAGCCTCCCCTACTGGACATCTGTGTTAAAAGAGCTTCATAGCTCATCCGATTCCCCCTCCTGCAATCTAAATACAGATTAATGATTCGGTATGATGACTTGGTGAGTGCTCATTGTAAAACTTAATTAGCATTTTCCAAGAAATACAACTTTTTTGCAAGTCAATTATGGCTGAATTAATTACCAGTGGAAAAAAAATATCCCGTCGGAGGTGAATATACATATTTTTTCAGCATGTAATTGTGGTGCTGTTCTTAACTAAAATATATTCTGAAGTCCCGTGATTCATTCCCAACTTAATCTTACTCTGCTCCAAATATAACTGATTGCTGTGGCGGATAGTGCTATGTCTGGGGTCTGAGTGCACTACCATTCATGTAGCAGTCGGATTATTTGTCTGCAGTGAAATGTGCTGATGGAGGTTGACCCTGAGTGTGTCAGTGCACGGAGTGTGTGAGTGAGTGATCCCTGTGTGTGCGTGTATCGCAGTACACAGAGTGTGTGTGAGTGGTCCCCGTATGTGTGTGTCAGTACACAGAGTGTGTGGGTGAGTGATCCCTGTGTGTGCACGTGTGTCAGTACACAGAGTGTGGGGGGAGTGGTTCTTGTGTGTGGGTTCGTGTGTGGCAGTGCACAGTGTGTGTGAGTGGCCCCTGTGTGTGTGTCAGTACACGGAGTGTGTGCGAGTGGTCCTTGTGTGTGGGTTCGTGTGTGTCAGTGCACAGAGTGTGTGCGAGTGGTCCTTGTGTGTGGGTTCGTGTGTGTCAGTGCACAAAGTGTGTGCGAGTGGTCCTTGTGTGTGGGTTCGTGTGTGTCAGTGCACAGAGTGTGTGTGGGTGGCCCCTGTGTGTGCGTGTATCACAGTACACGGAGTGTGTGCGAGTGGTCCTTGTGTGTGGGTTCGTGTGTGGCAGTGCACGGAGTGTGGGGGGAGTGGTCCCTGTGTGTGTGTCAGTACACGGAGTGTGTGCGAGTGGTCCTTGTGTGTGGGTTCGTGTGTGGCAGTGCACGGAGTGTGTGTGGGTGGCCCCTGTGTGTGCGTGTATCACAGTACACAGAGTGTGTGCGAGTGGTCCTTGTGTGTGGGTTCGTGTGTGGCAGTGCACGGAGTGTGTGCGAGTGGTCCTTGTGTGTGGGTTCGTGTGTGTCAGTACACAGAGTGTGTGTGTGAGTGGCCCCTGTGTGTGTGTCAGTACACAGAGTGTGTGTGAGTGGCCCCTGTGTGTGTGTCAGTACACAGAGTGTGTGCGAGTGGTCCTTGTGCGTGGGTTCGTGTGTGGCAGTGCACGGAGTGTGGGGGGAGTGGTCCTTGTGTGTGGGTTCGTGTGTGTCAGTGCACAAAGTGTGTGTGGGTGGCCCCTGTGTGTGCGTGTATCACAGTACACAGAGTGTGTGCGAGTGGTCCTTGTGTGTGGGTTCGTGTGTGGCAGTGCACGGAGTGTGGGGGGAGTGGTCCCCGTGGTCCCTTTGCTCCTACACGTGTGGCCGGGGCCTGCGCACTCGCATGCGCCACTGCTCCGTCCCCCAGCACGGGGGGAGCTCCTGCGAGGGGCCCTACAACCAGACCAAGGTTTGCAACATCGCCCTCTGCCCTGGTGAGCACCCCACATGTCTCAGCGTTTTGCATCGTGAGTCTGCCATGAAATTAAGAATCAGATTAGTCCGGAAGCCACTTCTCCGCCACGGAAAATAAGAGACAGTTGTCATCGCCTTACGTGCTCTTCCCACAAACCTCCCGTGCTTGGAGCACTAAAAGTAATAACATGCCATTATGCTTTGTATTTTTAGGTTATTTTAAATTCTTTGTCAGATATAAATAATATTCTGCCGAAAGGAGTATTTAACAGGAGCACACATCGAAAGTTTGAACGATTTTAAGTGAACCTTGTTGGTATTGTGTATCAGTTTCTCTCATCCCTTCGGTGTTACTGTCGATTCTTTGTCCTCCAAACTTCTTCCACCGTTTTAATTCAATTCAATTTTCATTTGTTACACGGAAAATCCCCTTTAACCAGTTACCCAGATAAATTCGATGGCAACAGCGCGCAGCAGCCCCGAATTGGAGGTTAGAAGAGCCCAGCCAGCAGCCAGCCAGGAAACTTGAAGCATGGATTATTTTTACAGTTCTATGAGTATAAATTAATTGGAAATGGTTAACATCTAATTTTAATTTGATTGGTTGATCCTAAGATGTGATGACACCTATTTAAGAAGCCGGGTTAGGTGACACGTTTATTCTGACATCCTATATATATATAAATTCTGACGTAGTTTCAAAATAATTGGTGCGTTAAACTCTTGTACGCTTGACAATTCAATTTGTTTGGCTGTATCGGGTGGTGGAGGTTCTTAATAATGAAACTGGTCAGAACATGATGTGGCCTAACCCAAATATTTGTTATTCATCACTCTGCCTAAGTTATGGTCTTCTTGTTTTGAATGGCCCATACAAAGCAACTGTCATAGATTCCGGTCCGAGTGACTTAGCCAATCAACCACGTTGTCTGAGAGTAGTGAATTGCAGATGCACCCACCCACTGCATTCACGTGTATATTTGGGGCAGTGCGAAGTCACATGGTCCATGGGTTGGAGTTTGTAGACGCACACAGTGAGAGTCTTGATTTTTCCACAAATGCTTTTAGGTAACCACATCTTCGGTCGACTGTGTGGATCCGGTTAAGCACTGCTCGGCATTTTTGCCGAAGATATAATCTGGATAGTCTGGTGGTGGGGTCGCTAACCTATTTTTATTTTACCTGGTAAGGCCCACTGAGCTATATATATATATTTTTTTCAGAAGCAACTTGGCCACAAATAATAGCTCAACGAAGTGGCTTATGTGGAAATTTATAGCAGCCATCGAACAATGACGATCACTGCATTGCATGCTTTCGGATGCGCTTGCGTGGCCATCTCGATGACCTTCCTTCCGATATTAGGAAGCCACTGAAGCTGCGCATTTTTTTATTATCAAGATTGAAAACTAAATTCTTTAAAATTGTTTTTGTATTTAGTTTGTTGTCGTTTCCCTGCACCTCCAGTCAGTACGGTTGGCTACGTACAGTGCCAACAAATTTCAACATACATACTCGAAACGTACGTCGATTCTAAACGTGGAGGGAAAACGGGAGGATACCAATCCACGAGACCATGGGGAGAGAGAACACGCAAACTCCAAATATACAGGCGGTGACAAGGTCGGGATCAAACCTAGACCCTCCTACATACCCGGGGAGGTAGTTATAAAAGGTGGTCGAGATGCAGTTGCAGCCCTGCAATGTCTGGCTGATGCCACTGCTGGCAAGGCCTCCATTGTTAGAGGGCGCTCCAGAGGCCCAGCTAGAGAGTATTCTGCCATTGTTTTTTTTCCACTGGCCAGAAGTCTTGGAAGAAGTAAGAATACCCACACTTTACCCCACCAAATAAAATGTTCTATTACTATCTATTTAACTCAAGGGTCATGACATTATATGTTTCTGAATAGAGTACACGTGGCGTGGTGGAACCATCAGCACATTGCACTTCCAATCCAGAGTGTGTGTATGTATGTTGAACTTATTTCGCACCATACATAGCCAACCATACGTAGCTAATCGAACGTGTGGGTCCGATCCCATCTCCTGGCGCGGCAGTTGAAACAATGGGGCAAGTTTCTCAAATCCCCCTCACAGCCTCTGTCCACCCAGCTGTACAAATGGGTATCATCACAGTCGTTATGGTGGGGTAAAGTATAGGTACTCCCACCTCTTCTAAAACCTCTGGCCAGCATAGAAGAGTAGGCCAATTACCCTATATAGGGGCTCTCTAGAGCCCCCTCTACTGTAGTTAAGGCCCTTTTTTGCCACCAGTGGCGAGGGCCAGCAATTGTAGAGCAGCATCTTCACCTATTGGACTGTTTGTTTATTTAATATTGTATTTTTTTCTGTCTTATCAACTTGCAGGCATCTGTACATCTGCATGTAGCTGGACTCGCACAGCTGCGTTAATGGTTTTAGATAAACAAAGGAGAATACAAGCATAACAATCTCAAAGTTTTGGTATACATAAATATTGTTCAAAATAGATTTGCACTTCAAATATATGCTTACGCAGCACTGTTTTCATAATTTATAGCCAGTTGAACGGATAATATGCAGGCTGCTTAAAAGTTATGTTAATTTAGATACATTTTATTCACGCGCTCATGGTTAATGGAATATTTTCTCTCGGGGCACCAAGAATAATGATCAGATAGCCCCCAACAACAAACAAAAAAGAATGCTAGCTATCACAACCATGAGTACTGCCTTAAAAACAGTAAAGGTGGGAATTGAGAATACGTTTTTCCCCTTTTATCTGGAAGGTGGGAATTCTTCAGAAAATACTCCCCCCCCCGCCTCACCTCGAGGGCCACGCAAATTATTTCCGCGTTTGCGGGAATCATTCTCCGACGACAACGACGTTGTAGGTCGGGCGGGGGTAGCATTTGCAAGGACAGAGCAGCTTTTCTTTTGGGGGGGGTGAGGCAAATGGGAGGGAGAACCTTCCAACGTTTTCCACCGCCATGCAGATCGACGCGATCAGACTGCCAAACGGTGGTTGTTGTGGGTAGAGTCGAGAGCCCCCCACGCTCTGCCTGAGTGAACACGAGGAAATGGACCGCACAAGCGAGGATCAGGGAGAGGCGGTGTGTGGGAGCCACGGAAGATTGCACTACCGTGCCGGATGTACGAGCGCGCGTGTGTATGTGACCCGAGTTCCATTCTCGCTCACGGCCAACATCAGTGGCGATAGTCTGAACCGGTACTGGGCCTCCCCTAGGTCGACTCGGCCTCAAATGAGTACCTGTTGGCGGTGTGTAAACATCGCCACTGTGGAGGCAAAGGGGGCCGGGCATGGTGTTGGCCAACCCCCCCCTTGTGCCGTGCCGGCCTCCATAGGTGCTTGCTAACAGCACTTGCCACGACAGTCTGTTAAGGCTATACGGGAGATCTTTGTATTTTTTGTTTGCATTAATAGCTTAGGATGTTACCACTTCAATATATTTTGTACGCAGCTGTGTTTTTTCATCAATAGTCAGCTGCACAACAGTTTATGGAGAATCGTTACTCGGGCTCCTGAAATATGTGGATGATGCAGGTTTGCTCCTGACAATCTTTGTTGGGGCATTGTAGTCATTTGGCAGCCCACACTGGGTCAGGGACTGAGCCTTCAAGTGAGCTTTCACAAAACGAAGTTAATGGCATTGGTTCGAAGCGGCAATCATGTAAAAAGTTATTGTGTCTGTCGGAATAGAAACTGTAGTCATGTGCACCATGTGCGAAACACAGGGGTTGTGAGATGAAGCTCAATATATTTATTTTATTACCAGGGCAGGTTTGATTAAAGTGTATTTTGACATGATGTATCTGACAAGCAAGATCTTTGCAATTTGCTCTTAATGGCTTTATCTGTTCCTCTCTGTTGCCAACATATGTACTTTTTACAGTCGCATTGAGAGTGCACTTTGGCATTTAGCGGTCCTTGTGCGTGTGTGTGTGTGTTGCGGTTTACAGTTGCGACGGCCACGAAACGTTTGCGTACACATTGTAGGGCGCTCCACGGAGGCGAGCTCCCGTAGCGCGGCTCAGTCCCAGGGCCTCCGCTGTTCTCCTCCAGCGAACACTTCTCCAAGTGCATGCCCATAACCCGTGTTGCAGACGCATCAGCGTGTTAACAATTCGTCGGATACATATGCGTGGCAGTTATATTTCATAGCTCATTAGGCATTTTCCCAAGCGTTGAGTGTTTTTTTTTATGAGTTATTTAAAATAACTGTTAAGTGTAATTGTGCCCCAAGGCGCATATGTGCTCAGGCGCATTAGCTCTGGAAATTGGCGGGGTAGGTTTTGGTAGCGGTCGGCTTTTGGGGATTGTTTGGTTGTTGCGGGACGGTGAGGCTACAAGCACAGAGACGGGAAGGAAGTTCCCACCGACAAAGGCTCTCTGGGAACCACGACGCCGTTTTATCCAGTCACAGAACAGTGGTATTTTTTATCCAGTCACAGAACAGTGCATCTTCAGCATCTTTTTGTGCATCTTCAGCGTCAACTGTATCACATTTGCCCACTCTAATTTAAAATGATTGTTCAACTGATGCCCATTTATAGGTACTCGCATATTGTTGCTCGCGGATATTCTTCAGAGAATGCAAATAAAAATAGTTCGTCCTCCCCGTGACATGCCGGGCAGGTCATCGAGCCAGCTGTTGCTGAAGCCAGCCAAATACAATTTTTTAAAGGATTGTGCTGGTGGGAGCCAAAATTGGTTTTTTTTTCCACATGCGTATCTTTTTCTTGACTCTGTCGGACATACGCTATCTCTGTAGGCGAGATAGAATATATTTTTCTTATCAATGACAGAAAACATCACTCCATCCCACAAGATGTGCAGGCACGCAACGGAGTGCTTATGATTATGCTGTAAAATGTAAATGTAACATTGCACAATTCTCCATCTTATCATTTGTTTGACTAATGTGCCTCAGAGTGTTCATGTTCATGTATCATTGACTTTAGTTGTTAGGCCTTTCCTAATTAATTACATCACGTTTTCCTCCCTGGTCACCATTTTCCAACCAATATAAATTGAACAACTGCGCTCCTCACTGCGAATAAAAAGTTAAATGAAAGCATTACAAAGTTTTCCCTTGAACAATACACAACCCCGCCGTGTTCTGTGCAAAATGGGGGCGCATGGCTGTGCGCATGTGTCTATGATGAAAAAGAATGAGAATAGGTTTTACCCTTGCTGGAAATAAAACAGGAGTTTAGATCATCAAACGCCAAATACATACCTTTTGCAAGGCATTAAGTCTGCATTAAGGTACATCCTTGCGGCAAAAGACAATGCATGCATTACCAGAGCATGTTTGTGTACATATTTTGCCACAAGTGTGTGGTTAATGCAGACTTGATGCCTTGCAAAATATATCTATTTGGTGTTTGAACAACTTAACACCTTCAGTTTTATTGCCAGAAAAAAAGGTCCCATAGTACGAGTGCATGTTGAACTTCTTTCACACCGCACGCAGCCAACCGTGCTAAGCAGAGGTGCCAAAGGCATCCAACGTAGGCACGCACGCGCGCACGCACGCCCTGGACTGGAGTGCCACGGCAGCCTACCTCGCGTGTGCGCGCGACCCCCCACCGCGATGCCGTGTGGTGCCACAGTAGATGGGCAGTGGGCAGACTGGTCCAAGTGGAGCACCTGCTCCGTGACGTGCGAGAACGGCACGCAGCAGAGGAGCCGCGAGTGCGTGGGGCCCATCTACGGAGGCACGGAGTGCGTGGGTCCCGGGACCGAGAACAGGCGGTGCGACAACAACCCCTGCCCAGGTGCGCCTTCACCCACCCAAGCACCACCGCATGCCCACTCCGTGAAGGACAGTGCCCTTTACTCGAGCAGCCCGCAATCAGAAGGTCGCGATAAGTTTGAAATTCTTTCTGGAGGTTGACTCGGCCCATCATCCCCTCCAGGGTCAATAATAATAAGTACTGTACTGGTTTGAGGGGAAGCCAATAGTGGTTGTTTTTACAGATAACACTCGCCCCATCCAGATGAATGAGGAATTTCCACCACTGGCTCAAGGCTGTCAACTGGAAATAATCAGTGCCTCAATGCGCGTTTGGAGAAAAAAATCACTCTGACTTGGATTTTGGAAAATGTCTAAATCTGCGGGAAGACAGAAGAGGTGGAAATGATGTCAGAATTTGTATTCTTACATGCACAATTAGCTTGCATGGAAATAAGATATATTTGTAACACTGCGTGTATCTTCGCAACGCGTTTTCATCATTTAAAATTGAACATTGGCATGGTCGTATTTTTAGCATGGAAGAAAAAAAGATACCTAGGCAAAGGATGCGCAAATCCAAAAACCCCACAATATCCCCACCCCAGAACATAAACTAAGCACATCTAATTATTGGAAGCTGTGTGTCTTCAGCATTGATGTACAGAAAAAGCGTAAATGTCAGCATTGCAGATATGCAACCAAGTATTGACCCAAAGGCATGGTTCATTAGTGTGAGTCTTGTGCTTTCTCAATTACTCGGCTTTGATCTTAATACAGACACCGTTATACTAATAATTTGTCAGACTCCTTTCAGAATATGTAAACGAGAGTAAATATGAGCAGCAGGCAAACAGTATGTCGCAGTTAAAAGGTTGCAATGACAGTTTTTGTTTAATGTTAAAACCCCTTGTTTTAACTAAGCCTGACCGTTATGCAATGGTAAACATTGGTAGCGGCCATTTATTTATAACCAGCTAAGAGCTAAAATTTACGATAGGCAATTTTGGAGCGAGGGGTGGTAACGTGGCGATGAGGTCTGCCGCAGCGTGTTACATTAAAAATCCGTGTAGCTCTGAGACAGCGGATTAAACATTGATGGTTCCGTGCACCGCTTGCATCGATGTGTGTCTTTCAAATGCGGTGCTGTCTCTTGTTCCCAAGGGGACAGGGTATGCATCACACCTTTTGGGTTTTTTTTTTTGCCAGAATGATTCCCAATCTCTCGGGCCTCGCTGTTTTGCCGTCCGTAAACATCGCGACATCCAATCCCGCGCTTGGTGCTCCAGACGAGGCTCCGACGCCTCGATCGGGGACACGTTTGGATTGCACGCGTTGCACGCGTTAACCGCGCACTTCCAACGCGTTACTGGAGTCTGCAAGCCTGGATCTGTACACAGCGAATGTTTTCCATACAAATTGCTCACGATATGAATATTGAAATATATATGAGGTAACGTACGTTTGATAGATTCCCACAAAATGAAAGTGATGTTCAGCACTAACGGCGCGCTCGGTGAACTCTTTGAGAAAAGTGTCTGCTGCTGTTGCTACTACTGTTGTTGTTGCTGTTGTTGTTGCTATTGCTGCATTTGCTGCTGCTGATGCTACGTTTGCCACTGCTGATGCTACTGATGCTGCTGTTGCTGCTTTTGCTGCTGCTGATGCTCCTGTTGCCACTGCTGATGCTACTGATGCTGCTGTTGCTGCTTTTGCTGCTGCTGATGCTCCTGTTGCCACTGCTGCTGCTACTGATGCTGCTGTTGCTCCTTTTATTGCTGCTGTTGCTACTGTTGCCGCTGATGCTGCCGCTGATGCTCCTGCTGCCACTGCTGTTGCTACTGATGCTGCTGTTGCTACTGTTGCCGCTGCTGCTGATGCTGCCGCTGATGCTTCTGCTGTTGCTGTTGGCGACAGTGGACGGCCGCTGGGGCGTGTGGGCGGCATGGGGGGAGTGCTCCGCCACCTGTGGCAGTGGTCTGCGGTGGCGACAGCGCAAGTGCTGGGGCCCCTTCCACGGCGGCCTCCTGTGCCAGGGCGGCGACAAGGAGCCTGCCAACTGCACCAACCCGAGATGTCCAGGTGTGCTCACGCCTCTCAAAGTAACGGAACAACACTTCTTGTCACGATGATTATTGCTACATAGCCGGGTTTTTTTGTTGTTGTTGTTTTCTCCAGAAGCGACCTTCCCACAGCAAATGATGATCCCAGCGATTGTCACGGTTGGCCTCACTGGATGGCGCGCGAGGAGCTCAACGTGCTTGTGTCTACGTGCATGTGGAATGTATGGCGGACAAATACTTTGAACGCCACATTGATTTTAAATGTGGAGGATATAAACCGGAGGACCCGGAGAAAAATCCACGCGACCACGGGGAGAGAGAGACGCAAACTCCAAATATACAGCAGCAGGTGTCAGGGGTCGGGATTCGAACCCACGATCTCCTGCATACCAGACGAGGTAGTTAACATCTCCTAGCCACCGTGATGATGAGAGAGAGAGAGATACACACTTAGTCGGTCGTGTGTGCTGGGGAAATGTGGATACACTCCTATCTCCTACAAGATGTCTGACCAGCGGTGGAAGAGTAGGCCGAATACCCCAGAGAGAGGGGACCTCTCACAAGATCTCTCGAGTGGAGGCCTTTCTGGCAGCAGTCGATGTGAGGAAGGCACTGAAGGGCTGCACCCTTACCTTTAGCTGGCATTAATGTGTTTCAGTGTCAGCGTTTGAAACGTGCTTATTTTTTATTGGTTTCAACTGCACAGATACTGTTGACCAAGCTGTATGACCTGATTAACCTATAACTACTGGACAGACAGAAGCCATCTATGACCTGTGTGAATTCCAAAGGCAGGGTTGTAGTAGTTGCAGTACGTTTGCTTGAGAATTTGCTGTTCACTGCTGCAACTGTATGCTTTAGGACCATGTCTTCATTGCCCTAGTTCCATGATACAACTGACCAAAGCAAGGTTTAAGAGAGCACCTCACCTCATCTTAATTCCCGCTGTGCCTGGTTCACGTTTTTTTTTTGCGAGCGTTTTTTTTTAAATCAAAAACGCAGAAGGCTCACGGCCTCATTTACAAGAAGCACAAAAATGCATCTGTTTTTGCAACATTCAATCAAGGGGCATTGATGCAATTTACGTGTAGACGGGATGCCATTGGTTCTGTCAATTTTTTTTTACACCGTAATAGTCAAATCCGTGGGAGATACTCGGGGGGGGGGGGGGGGGGGGAGGTGGGGGACTTATTCACCTGCGTTTGCGTCGTTCTGTTGTTGTTGTTGTTCCGTGTGAGAAGGGAGACGCCGCGGTGCTGCCAGGTTGGGGGTCATGGGGGAAGCCAGATACCTCGACGCAATTAAGAGCAAGCGTTGATTTAAAGGAAATATTAAAATTGCACACGGCAACTGAATTACTTCACGGGACACTTTAATTAAACAAACGTAAACATCGAACAAATTGCTTTCTATCAGTGCTTGTTAATTATTAATTTTAGTATTCTAATTTAAAGGAAAATACATCTTGATATATGTTGCATTTATTTAGATGGTTAAATAGCGGAAACATGAAAACATGAATCTTAATTTTATTGTTTGAAAAAATATATCATAATTTTATATTATTTCAGCAAGTTTAAATTGTTGTTGAAGTGTAAAAATGTACGCTATTTTCGGTTTACCGATTTACATATTCCGGCATGTTTAAATTTGTAGTGCTGTTTTATTGGAAATTTAAATATACAGATGAATAACACCGATAATCAATCAACGTTAATCCTGCCTATACTTAAGATAATTTATGCAAGGGAGTGGGAGTACATTTTAACATGAGAAGTTATTTTGGTTCTGAATATCATGCAAACCACTTTTTTAAGTAAATGTTTGGGTGATAAGGGTCGACAATGTGACCCAATTAAGACCGCCTCACAACTTGTTTCACTAATCACCATGTGTTGTTCTACACTCAGCCGATTTTTTTTAGAAGGCGTTTAAAATTAATTATTAACTCGAAATGGGTAATTATATTTTTTACTGTTGAAAAATATACGTGCATTGCACACTAAAGCTGAAGATGTATCACGAAATCCTTCGATGATAAATCGTCCAGTGGCACGCAGGGACAGCCACATTCGTTGTCCCACATTGAGTTATGAAAGTCTGCAGGATAATTCCTGGTTGGAGACAATTGTAATTTGTATTTGCTACTTCATTTCCCGAAACGTTTAAACCCGATATACTGTATGAGGGTGCATTAACTGTGGTGGTGCTGCTGCTGTTATTGTTCACTTACTATGTGTGCTGAGAAACAAATGAACTGCACGTACTGTTAAATAACATTGTGGCTTCAAAATACAAATATATAATACGCTATTTTTTATTTCTGGCAATGGCATGTTTTTCATAGCACTTAAAAAGAGAGGCCAGTGGACAAAAAGAGTTGGAGACTACATGAGGCATGATGATTTCTGATGCCCGTTTTTTTTTTATTTGGCATATGACTAGTGACTTAATAGTACCTATTTGGTGACAAACTCATCGATACTCAAACAATATCATGACTAAATGAGCTTACTTTGTGGCCTCCCACTACATTTGAGAAACTGGTCAACGCCTCAGTGATAGCTTTCGCCCAAGCTCTTATGTCTGCTCTCCGTGCAGACAGGGCCCACACCAGTGGCTCGTCACTCCCAACAGCGTAGACCGTAGCCCCAATGACGTGTCGGTGCATGGCCTTGTCCAGATCGCTGGTGGGAATGGGACTAGAAAAAGGACAGAAGGCCACCTCATATTTAAACTCAATACTATGCAGAGCGATGCAGAAGGGCCACTGACAGAAAAGGTCACCTATTTTATGTATATATTTTTTCTTTTAAGGCCACAGTGTTATTGTTACTCTTTTGTTTTTTTCGGTAAAGTCACGTAGGTAAAATAAATGAAAACAACTAAATTAAAGCACGACGTTTCGGAGGCAACACAAGCCTCCGTCTTCACGTGGAAACCGTCACAACAAAATCGCTGTATCAAGTGGCTACAGCAATTTTGCTGTATCAAGTGGCTACAGCTATTTTGCCGTGATGGTTTCCACCTGAAGACGGAGGCTTGTGTTGCCTCCGAAACGTCGTGATTTAATTTAGTTGTTTTCATTTATCTTACCTACGTGACTGTACCGAAAAAAAAACAAAGAGTATGAATCCTTGCAGTCACGAAAGCTTCAAATCTAGAATGAGTGTTATTGCTTGTTGTCATTGAGTTTTTTTGTAATTGTGCTCGTACACCACTGCCAATGGAGCAGCAGCAGGAGCTCCATCGCCAAATAACTTGAGAGTAAACGTAGGTTCACATTAAATAACAACAAGGTGGAATGAATTATCTCGTATTTAGCAATAGCTTGCCGTGCAATAATTAGAATGCATTATGAATCCGATGAATGAGATTTTGATTGGATTGGTGGTTCGCATCAGATCAGCTTGGAATCACGTTGGGGCCCGATGGGGTCCAATGTGATCAGGGTCATTCATATGGAAGCCACGCGCCCTCAGCAATTACTTGGTTGGTGTCCTTACTGTTGTGATTCAGCCCTTAAATGAGCACTTATTGTGGGCATCAACCATAGCTAAATAAAAAAAACAGTCGATTGCGTATGCTGGGCCCTAAATCACAGAAGTCTAATTATAACCGAAATTGAAGAATAACGGTATTTTCCGCATATAACGAGGTTAGTAAATACACTTTGTCTTCTATTTGGCAATGTATGCAGAGCCCTATGAGATGTGTGCCGAAGAGGTGAGCGCTTCCATCTTGTGGAAGGAGACTGAAGCCCAGAGTGTAGCAGTGAGCCGATGTCCACCAGATGCCACAGGTACACACACCACTGGCACCATGAGCACCAGATGCCACAGGTACACACACCACTGGCACCATGAACACCAGATGCCACAGGTACACACACCACTGGCACCATGAATACCAGATGCCACAGGTACACACACCACTGGCACCATCAACACCAGATGCCACAGGTACACACACCACTGGCACCATCAACACCAGATGCCACAGGTACACACACCACTGGCACCATGAACACCAGTTGCCACAGGTACACACACCACTGGCACCATGAACACCAGATGCCACAGGTACACACACCACTGGCACCATGAACACCAGATGCCACAGGTACACACACCACTGGCACCATGAATACCAGATGCCACAGGTACACACACCACTGGCACCATCAACACCAGATGCCACAGGTACACACACCACTGGCACCATCAACACCAGATGCCACAGGTACACACACCACTGGCACCATGAACACCAGTTGCCACAGGTACACACACCACTGGCACCATGAACACCAGATGCCACAGGTACACACACCACTGGCACCATCAACACCAGATGCCACAGGTACACACACCACTGACACCGTGAACACCAGATGCCACAGGTACACATACCACTGGCACTTGAACACCAGATGCCACAGATACACACACCACTGGCACCATGAACACCAGATGCCACAGGTACACACACCACTGGCACCATGAACACCAGATGCCACAGGTACACACACCACTGGCACCATCAACACCAGATGCCACAGGTACACACACCACTGGCACCATCAACACCAGATGCCACAGGTACACACACCACTGGCACCATCAACACCAGATGCCACAGGTACACACCACTGGCACCATGAACACCAGATGCCACAGGTACACACACCACTGGCACTAAGAACACCAGATGCCACAGGTACACACACCACTGACACCATCAACACCAGATGCCACAGGTACACACACCACTGGCACCATGAACACCAGATGCCACAGTTACACACACCACTGGCACCATCAACACCAGATGCCACAGGTACACACACCACTGGCACCATCAACACCAGATGCCACAGGTGCACACACCACTGGCACCATCAACACCAGATGCCACAGGTACACACACCACTGGCACCATCAACACCAGATGCCACAGGTACACACACCACTGGCACCATCAACACCAGATGCCACAGGTATACACACCACTGGCACCATCAACACCAGATGCCACAGGTACACACACCACTGGCACCATGAACACCAGATGCCACAGGTACACACACCACTGGCACTATGAACACCAGATGCCACAGTTACACACACCACTGGCTCCATCAACACCAGATGTCACAGGTACACACACCACTCGCACCATGAACACCATGATGCCACAGGTACACACACCACTGGCACTATGAACACCAGATGCCACAGGTACACACACCACTGGCACCATGAACACCAGATGCCACAGGTACACACACCACTGGCACCATGAACACCAGATGCCACAGGTACACACACCACTGTCACCATGAACACCAGATGCCACAGGTACACACACCACTGGCACCATGAACACCAGATGCCACAGGTACACATACCACTGGCACTATGAACACCAGATGCCACAGGTACACACACCACTGGCACCATGAACACCAGATGCCACAGGTGCACACACCACTGGCACCATGAACACCAGATGCCACAGGTACACATACCACTGGCACTATGAACACCAGATGCCACAGGTACACACACCACTGGCACCATGAACACCAGATGCCACAGGTACACATACCACTGGCACTATGAACACCAGATGCCACAGGTACACACACCACTGGCTCCATCAACACCAGATGTCACAGGTACACACACCACTGGCACCATGAACACCAGATGCCACAGGTACACATACCACTGGCACTATGAACACCAGATGCCACAGGTACACACACCACTGGCACCATGAACACCAGATGCCACAGGTACACATACCACTGGCACTATGAACACCAGATGCCACAGGTACACACACCACTGGCACCATGAACACCAGATGCAACTGGTACACACACCACTGGCACCATGAAGTCCGCGTGATCTGGAGTGTTCTACACACCGTTTTAGCATAAGTTTCTTAAATCCATCACAACGCTTTCTACCCAGCAGTTTAAATGAGTACGTACACCAGAGTTAAGTCGATCAGCAGGTCAAGTGTGGTGGGGGAAAGCGTGGGTTCTCCCACATCTTCCAAGGGTATCTGGCCAGTTATGATGCTAGAATTATAAACTAGCATCACAACAGGACAATCAACACATGCAGAATCATAAACTAGCATTATAACAGGACAACCGACACATACAGAATCATAAACTAGCATCACAACAGGACAACCAACACATACAGAATCATAAACTAGCATCAACACAGGACAATCGACACATACATAATCATAAACTAGCATCACAACAGGACAATCAACACGTACAGAATACAAAACTAGCATCATAACAGGACAACCGACACATACATAATAAAAAAAATTAGCATCACAACAAGACAACCGACATACAGAATAATAAACTAGCATTATAACAGGACAACTGACACATACAGAATCCCCTGGAAAAAAAGTTGCGTCCCAGAAATAAAATATTTAATTGTCTCGACCATTTTGTATGATTTGGTGCCCCGGGGTAGCGCCATAAAGGATCAGTTGATCATCGATTATCCAGCTCGCGGTTATCTGTATCTGTCTTCCAACATTATCCGGTGGTTCCAGGTCGATCCGGCAAGACTGCTCCAAAGACTGTAACCAGTCCGGCGATCGGCACCATGTGTGACAATTTTTGTTTTAGCTATGCTTGATTCAGTGTCAAATGTATATTGCTATATAAGAGAAACTGCTAACGTGAGCATGGGGGCACACCGGCGGCTGCCTCAGAGGCAGTCTCGTGTGGAATTATCTCGAAGATGGAAACGGTGGTGGTTGAAAGTTGTGACTGCTTGAAACGTCGTGGCCGCACGCGATGTCCCACACCTAACTACGCGCATTTGCTTTTGTACAGTTATTTTTTATGTAAATTAAAATTAGGTTAATAATTTAAATGATACTTGACTTCAAACATTACATGACTATTGGTTGATAATTGTATTTTTTAGTGAGCTTTGACTATTTTGCAGGTGTGGTGAGGAGGAAATGCTCACTGTCTGAGAATGGAACTGCGTTGTGGGAATATCCAAGTTTTTCCAAGTGCATCTCCCTGGAACTGCAGACAGTCCTCCAATCGGTATGATTTATTTGTTTCCAAAGCGATGACATGCCTCATGACGAATGCACCTTAAAAACAATTACACTGTGCAATGGAAACGCAGTGGAGAAGCTACATCTTCAATTGCCACATAAATTGGCACGAAGTGAATGAGTGTTACTCCTGTGCCTCTTGCCTCAGCGCAAGGCTACAGTGGCAGGAAGGAGCTGTTAATCAGGGGGCCTGTCTCACCCATCGAGAAATCCTGTCGCCGCAGTCAGCCTCTTGCCACAAGAGGTCCCCTTTGCAGTGAGAGTAATAAAGGTGTAGAGACGTAAATAGCGTCTCTACGGCGTATAAGCCCACTACAACCACAACTGGTAAAGGAGGGTGCACGTAGCTCTCGATGGGGCCGACGGCGACGTGGCGGGGTGTAGCAGGCCCTACAGAGCAGGGTCCCATCCCAGAGAGAGATAGAGAGGGGGACGTGTGGCAGGCCCTACAGAGCAGGGTCCCATCCCAGAGAGAGATAGAGAGGGGGACGTGTGGCAGGCCCTACAGAGCAGGGTCCCATCCCAGAGAGAGATAGAGAGGGGGACGTGTGGCAGGCCCTACAGAGCAGGGTCCCATCCCAGAGAGAGATAGAGAGGGGGACGTGTGGCAGGCCCTACAGAGCAGGGTCCCATCCCAGAGAGAGATAGAGAGGGGGACGTGCTGCCATGGAGTGGTGAAGGGGGCCCGGGGGACACGTGACGCTGGCTCCGGTTCCGTCGCGAGAGACCGAGGAAGGGGGCCGTGGCCACAGGCGGAGCGATCGGGGTTGTCTGGCGGGAAGAGCTCACCGTGCGGCCTTGCTTCGGGGGGGGGTCTTGGGGCGTCGGTTGGGGGTCTAGAATAACCCCGAGGATTGTTAACCCGTAGTCCCTGTTCAGTTGTTAATAAATCGTGGTGCCTCCAGACTTCTCTGTGTGCCTCGTGAGACACACACTACAAAGGGAATGTGGGTGGTGAGTGCGGGCTGCCCGCACGCCTGACCGCCTTCTCGTACTGGCACGCTTACGCCCCCCCACACACACACCAGACAAAAGCAAAGACTCCTCAACCCCTCCTATAATATCCTTACACAGACTGTTGGGGCATGCGCTGTTAGCGACCACTACGAAGGTTGGGTCAGGCAGCACACGAGGGGGTGGTGTGGCTGGCATCACGCCTGGCCAGCTTTGTCTTCCCAATGGTGATTTTTTTCACACCGTACCAGCTACTAAGGTAAGGCTGAGTCGACCTGGGGGAGGCCCATGACCGGTTCAGATGTTCAACACTGATGTTGACTGTGTGGGATCGGGTCACTGGGTTCATAGGACAGACGTCTACCTCAACACACTACCGCTCCCCACGCACAAACGCAGGCAGATTCGCATCAATATGTACATGAATGTTGCGTCCTGTCTGTACAATCGTACACGCACCTGCTAATGCAGCATATGATCCTTACGGCGGTACCCCGGAGTTCCAAATAATACAAAATGGCTGAGGCAATTAAATATTTTATTTCTGGGACACTATTTTTTCCAGGAGTGTTACCTAACTCCACGACTGGGGTACCAATCAATCCGAAATCAGTGCCACACTCCGCGATGTTTAAACGCAGTGAGGGCGATTGCGCTGAAACCCCGAACGCTCGCGGTACGCGCCGTGGTGGTGCATCGTGAGTACGGCTCGTCGAGATGAGTCGATTGCCGCATCGCCGACCATCAACAGACTAAAAATTACTGCATCACGGACATTATGCAAGAGCCGGGGTACTATGGTACCCCGGGGTAACGCCATAAGGTTTACTTCACAACTTGGACGTGCAACGGATTGGGTGGGGGTGGTTTTGCGTAAATAGAATGGCATAGGAGGAGGAGCGGTTATAGTAAAATTGAACACGACGCTCAACATTCAGAGAGGTGCAGACAGGGAGAGGCCGAGTTAGATATGGAGTGAGATGGAGTGAGACACCGAGTGAGACATGGATTGAGACACGGTCTCACTCGGACTGAGACGCAGAGTGAGACACCGAGTGAGACACCGAGTGAGACACCGAGTGAGACATGGATTGAGACACGGTCTCACTCGGAATGAGACACAGAGTGAGACACCGAGTGAGACACCGAGTGAGACACCGAGTGAGACATGGATTGAGACACGGTCTCACTCAGACTGAGACACAGAGTGAGACACCGAGTGAGACATGGATTGAGACACAGAGTGAGACACCGAGTGAGACATGGATTGAGACACGGTCTCACTCGGACTGAGACACAGAGTGAGACACCGAGTGAGACACCGAGTGAGACATGGATTGAGACACGGTCTCACTCGGACTGAGACACAGAGTGAGACACCGAGTGAGACATGGATTGAGACACAGAGTGAGACACCGAGTGAGACATGGATTGAGACACGGTCTCACTCGGACTGAGACACAGAGTGAGACACCGAGTGAGACACCGAGTGAGACATGGATTGAGACACGGTCTCACTCGGACTGAGACACAGAGTGAGACACCGAGTGAGACATGGATTGAGACACAGAGTGAGACACCGAGTGAGACATGGATTGAGACACGGTCTCACTCGGACTGAGACACAGAGTGAGACACCGAGTGAGACACCGAGTGAGACATGGATTGAGACACGGTCTCACTCGGACTGAGACACAGAGTGGGACACCGAGTGAGACATGGATTGAGACACAGAGTGAGACACCGAGTGAGACATGGATTGAGACACGGTCTCACTCGGACTGAGACACAGAGTGGGACACCGAGTGAGACATGGATTGAGACACAGAGTGAGACACCGAGTGAGACATGGATTGAGACACGGTCTCACTCGGACTGAGACACAGAGTGAGACACCGAGTGAGACACCGAGTGAGACATGGATTGAGACACGGTCTCACTCGGAGTGAGACGCAGAGTGAGACATGGATTGAGACACAGAGTGAGACACCGAGTGAGACATGGATTGAGACACGGTCTCACTCGGACTGAGACACAGAGTGAGACACCGAGTGAGACATGGATTGAGACACGGTCTCACTCGGAGTGAGACACCGAGTGAGACACCGAGTGAGACACCAACGCATGTGGAGTCTCGGGAGTCCGCGAGGCTCCACGTGCAGCGGCCTCGCAGGTGGCCACGGGGAAGAGGCCGTCGAGGTCCACAGCGATGGCCGTCGCTACTAAACCCAGCTGCTGCTACCCACCCTGCTCTTTGGGGTATATTAATAGCAAGTTGGGTTGTTTTACATTTTTTACCTAAAATACTACTCTGATAATTTCGTACCTTTTTATGTTTTTTCGATATACTGCCTATAAGTTTGACAAACGTGAAATAATTTTCCACATTTTAGTAACTAGGGAATTGCACCTTTAATTACACGATGTAACACAATTTTTGTTCCTGGGTAGTAAGTGTTATTTCCTCATTGCTAATGCCTAAAAAGTATAGAAAATGGCTATTATTCCCCACAAACTTTGCTTTTGTGACCTGGACATTGATATTTTGAAATTTGCCTATTTTCAATGAGAAAACCGGCGAATTTGTGTCTTTTCGTTCACATAAAGTCAGAAAACAACAACACATGAATCAAAATTAACATGTATTTATACTAAAGTAATACAAAAATGACAACAAAAGATTTAGAAGTGAGTAGTTTTTCGAGATTTACGATTATGCTGTAAATCACTTTCACGAATCAGCCCCCAAATGTAGTCTCCCATCATGTTCTCGGTATGCTGTCCTTGGTAGCGGCGTTCAAAGTCCAGTAAATCCTGGTGGAAGCGCTCGCCGTGCTCCTCCTAGTACACTCCCACACTCCCATGTTCTCATTGAATTTATCAAGATGAGCATCAAGGATATGGATTTTGACGGACATCCTACAGCCCATTGTGCCATAGTTCTTCACCTGAGTCGCAACCAGCTCCACGTAGTTTTCGACCTTGTGATTGCTCAGGAAGCCACGAACCACTGCGACAAAGCTGTTCCAAGCCGCTTTCTCCTTTCTAGTCAGCTTCTTGGGGAATCATTGCACTCCAGGATCTTCTTTATCTGTGGTTCGACGAAGACACCGCCTTTGACCTTTGCCTCAGACAGCTGAGGGAAGAATTTTTTTAAGTACTTGAACCCTGCCGACTCCTTATCTACAGCTCTGCCAAATTGTTCCATAAGGCCTAGTTTGATGTGCAGTGGTGCCATTAGCACCTTCCGGGGGTCCACCAGTGGCTCTCACTTGACGTTGTTCCTCCTCACAGAGAACTCGGTCCGCTGTGGACAGTCCCGCCTGTGGTAGTGCGCCTTAGTGCCCCTGCTGTCCCAAACGCAAAGATAGCAGGGAAACTTGGTAAAACCGCCTTGGAGACCCATCAGGAATGCCACCATTTTGAAGTCTCCGATCACCTCCCAACCGTAATCATCATACTTCAAGTTGTCCAGCAAGGTCTTGATGCTGTTGTAATCCTCATTGAGGTGCACCGAGTGAGCCAGGGGAAGAGACGGGTACTTGTTACCATTATGGAGCAGCATGGCTGTGAGGCTCCTGGATGAGCTGTCAATGAAGAGGCGCCACTCATTCTGATTACAGGTTATTCCTATTGCCTCAAACAGACTGGTCACATTGTGGCAGAAACAGAGCCCATCTTGACGGGTGAAGAAGCTGCAGAAAGTTGGTAATGCTTCCTCTGATCTGCGGCTTGCACACTTTCATCCAACAAGTTCCACTGCTTGAACCTAGACGTCAAAAGCTCGGCATTGGACTTGGTGATACCAAGATCTTTGATCAAGTCTTTGAGGTCTTTTTGGTTGGGGTGGTATAGGTTTCTCTCCTCAGCTCCACCTCTGAAATTGGCATCTAGATCTACAAGGTCTTCCTCGCTCTCTGACTTGCTGCTCTCTTCTAAAGACGGCTGCTCTCTCTCCGGAGGAGTGGGTACGGGGAGCTCATGGCAGTGTGGCACCAGGGCGATGGATGAAGGTCCGGATACGTGATAGCAGGTGCATTCTTGCCAGTCAGACGTTTGGAAGGGTCCACCATGCAGAAGTAGCAGTTGCTTGAGTGGTCAGTGGGTTCCCGCCAAATTCTTGGGATAGTGAACTTCATGGCTCTCATTTCCCCTCTGTACTATCATACAAAAATACATTTATTTCACTCATGACTAATGTGTAAGAGATTCTCGCAAAATCTTTCATATATGGTAGTTTTTTCAATAACATTGAAAATTGAAAACATTTTAAAATTAACAACTTTTACAATTTTACAAATTTTAACAAATTTTATAATGTAAAATTCCGAGCAGCAATTGTCCATCTTACCTTCCAGAGTTTTTTGCATTACTCGCAGGTGAAATGAAGTGCCCAGGGTTTGTCTTTATCCCCGACAGGCATGCCGAAATATGCCTTATAGGCCTCACACATCTTAGTAGATGCTTCCACAGAGTACTTTTTCACTCTTGCCTTGATAAATTGTCCGCAGACATCGCAAAATGCGTCTGCCGGATGCTTGCAGCCTCTTGATGCCAGCTCAGAAAAATGCAGATATGTATCCACTTAGATAGCTGGAACTAAACTGAACTGGTGGGCTTAAGGCACCTGTGTTTATACTACTATTTATATTACTGGAAAGTTCTATAATGTTCTAGATGTTTACTCCAAGTTTACTGAGCACTGAATCTATCTGGAATGTTCTGGAAAATAGGTAAATTTCAAAATATCACTGTACTGGTCACAAAAGCAAAGTTTGAGGGAATACTAGCCATTTTCTGTAATTTTGAGGCATAAGCAATTAGGAAATAACACTTACTACCCAGGAACAAAAAAAAATGCTGTTACACAGTGTTATTAGCAAAATATACCGACAGGGCTATCAGTGAGGAAATAACCCTCCATGTACCTACACTGGATATGGCGCTATTACATACTCTCATATGTACACATGTATGCACGTGTTATTGCTCGCACAGAAACAGATGCACAACAGATAGTTTTGTACATTCATACAAATGTGCCTTCTTGATTTTACTACCTGGACACATTCAACCATGTAGCCAGCTCACAAATATAACGTGCACCACGTGAGTGTTAAGATTGTAACCGAACATTAAGAATGCAGTGAGGTGCTCACGAGTAATGTTTCAGACCATGTGAGAGTGAGACCCAAACTCTCTCAAGACGACCGCCCTCTCTTGGGGCTTTCGGGTTGTACCGCATGTGTTTCCTGAAGAAGCCCCCAGCACAGGGAAACAGAACGTCGGACGTCGTGGCAAACAACATACGGTACACACGGCAGAGCTGCGCAGCCCAGCCGGGAAAACCTACGGCAGTGTCTGGAGTCAAATTAGATTGAAAACTCATTTCTTTGAAGCTGCTTTTTGTTTGAATTTGTTGTCCTTTCCTCACACCACCGCTGAGCACGGTGCGAAAGAAGTTCAACAAACATACACATTTGTGTCATGAACATCGAACGGGAAGCGTTGTTAAGAAGCGTTGTGTCGTGTTTTTTGAGCGGCTCCGCCTCCGCCGTTTGTCGCCCGCCTCGCAGCTGAGATACCACCGCAGCAAGCGTCTGTGGGCGCCCTCGCTCGCGGACGGCCTCTCCCAGACGAGTCGCGAGCTGGCCGAGGCGTCCCAGGGGCAAGTGCTGTACGGCGGAGACGTCCTCGCCTCGCTCGACATCCTGCGCAATGTCAGCGACACCTTCCGGCGAGCGCCCTTTCAGCCATCCAGCGACGACATCCAGGTCACCGCCTGCACCTCGCACAACTCCACGGTGGCACGGTGGTATCCGGTTGCGAGCACGACTGATGTGAGCGCAGCGCTCGCTGTCTCTCTGGTGTCGAGCAAAGCGTCCCTCAGTTCACGCTGTTGGCAGGAGGCCCAATGGGTTCCTTTTGACACCAGGACACTTTGAGAAGTCAATTCAGGTTTACAAGCACGCCGATTGGTACGGTTGGGTACGTATGGTGCGAAAGAGGTTCAACATACATGCAAGCCTGTTTCTCTGGATGCTTTGTTAGAGTTCAGTGATATTTAAAATCGTCTAAAGTTGACATCTGAATTCAGTGCCTCACACAGCCACGTGCTGGAAGGAGCCGGATAGCTCAGGGGCCATTGATATGCGAGGGCAGTGCGAGACAGCACCACTGAGATTCAGAGGTTGAATCTACATTACACACACGCACGCAGGAAACACATTACATTTGGTTTCTCACATTTATTTGACATTCCAGTTTTGAGAATTACGTTTTTTTATCGCCATGTGACCAACATGTTAAAAAGTGACACCACCTACTCTGGATAAGAGGCAACTGTGTGACATTATAAGCAGTTCTGCAAAATCTCCCTGGGGCTATTATTTGACAAATGCTCGCAGTGAGACATTGTGTAATTGTGCCATTTGCTTGCTTGTGTGCATTGCAAATGGAAAATGATTTGTCTAATAAGACGATGACGCGACCCACATTTGAAATATAAAAAGAAAGATAAAAATGGTTTTCTCTTATTAACCGCCTAAGATGAATGTATCTTCTGTTGCAAGAGTTATTTACGTATTCTTTTAAAACCCACACCCTGCTCACGTAGTATGTCCTCTGACCCCCTTTCACACACCCCAAATATTATCAACGCTGCTTCAATGGTAAACGGAATCCCTTTTACTCCCTGACAATCGCAACACCTTACGAACAAGGTGCAGCACCCCATCCCTAAATGCTGCCGTAAAATTCATCAGCCAGGCGGGTGGTGGTGGCTATGCGCTCAGCTGCCTGTAATCCAGCACTGTGGAGGCAGCAGCGAGGGTTGGTGGATCACCACACAATTGACAAAATTTGGCAAGACAAATTTTCTGTGGGCATTGAGGAGGTGTGATACCCTGGCTCGCCAACAGAAGTGTGAACTTGATATTCTGTCCCTTCTTTACGGGATAGAGTGTTGCCCCCTCGCATGTGGGACTTTTCTCCGGGTGCTCCAGTTTCCTTCCACATGTATAATAAACACTGTTTAATATGTAGGCTTTCGCGACCAATATCATCCATAATTTGATTTAAAGCTTTCGCGACTGCAGGAATTACTCTTTGGTTCTTTCGGTAAAGTCACGTAGAAATAATAGAATACGACGTTTCGATTGCAACACAAGCAACCGTCATCAGGTAGAACTAAATTTGAGAGACAAAGCACAGCAGACCCACCTCTCTGTCTGCCCCCCACCCTCACTCTCTATTTAAGGCCTGGACACAGAGGCATTGGGTCTCTGTGTGTCTATGTTGTGTGTCTCTCTCTGTGTGTCTATGTGTTGTCTCTCTCTGCTTGTGGGTCTGTCTGTGTGTCTCCGTGTCTGTGTTTTATCTCTCTCAAATTTAGTTTTACAGTGAGGGAAAAAATATTTGACCCCCTGCTGATTTTGTACGTTTGCCCACTGACAAAGAAATGATCAGTCTATAATTTTAATGGTAGGTTTATTTGAACAGTGAGTGACAGAATAACAACAACAAAATCCAGAAAAACGCATGTCAAAAATGTTATAAATTGATTTGCATTTTAATGAGGGAAATAAGTATTTGAAACCTCTGCAAACCATTACTTAGTGCTTGGTGGCAAAACGCTTGTTGGCAATCACAGAGGTCAGACGTTTCTTGTAGTTGGCCACCAGGTTTGCACACATCTCAGGAGGGAATTTGTCCCACTCCTCTTTGTAGATCTTCTCCAAGTCATTAAGGTTTTGAGGCTGACGTTTGGCAACTCGAACCTTCAGCTCCCTCCACAGATTTTCTATGGGATTAAGGTCTGGAGACTGGCTAGGCCACTCCAAGACCTTAATGTGCTTCTTCTTGAGCCACTCCTTTGTTGCCTTCACCATGTGTTTTGGGTCATTGTTATCCTGGAATACCCATCCACGACCCATCTTCAATGCCCTGGCCGAGGGAAGGAGGTTCTCACCCAAGATTTGATGGTACATAGCCCCGTCCATCGTCCCTTTGATGCGGTGAAGTTATCCTGTCCCCTTAGCAGAAAAACACCCCCAAAGCATGTTTCCACCTCTATGTTTGACGGTGGGGATGGTGTTCTTGGGGTCATAGGCAGCATTCCTCCTCCTCCAAACACGGCGAGTTGAGTTGATGCCAAAGAGCTCCATTTTGGTCTCATCTGACCACAACACTTTCACACAGTTGTCCTCTGAATCATTCAGATGTTCATTGGCAAACTTCAGACGGGCATGTATGTGCTTTCTTGAGCAGGGGGACCTTGCGGGCGCTGCAGGATTTCAGTCCTTCACGGCGTAGTGTTACCAATTGTTTTCTTGGTGACTATGGTCCCAGCTGCCTTGAGATCATTGACAAGATCCTCCCGTGTAGTTCTGGGCTGATTCCTCACCGTTCTCATGATCATTGCAACTCCAGGCCGAGGGAGATTGACAGTTCTTTTGTGTTTCTTCTATTTGCGAATAATCGCACCAACTGTTGTCACCTTCTCACCAAGCTGCTTGGCAATGGTCTTGTAGCCCATTCCAGCCTTGTGTAGGTCTACAATCTTGTCCCTGACATCCTTGGAGAGCTCTTTGGTCTTGGCCATGGTGGAGAGTTTGGAATCTGATTGATTGCTTCTGTGGACAGGTGTCTTTTATACATGTAACAAGCTGAGATTAGGAGCACTCCCTTTAAGAGTGTGCTCCTAATCTCAGCTCGTTACCTGTATAAAAGACACCTGGGAGCCAGAAATCTTTCTTATTGAGAGGGGGTCAAATACTTATTTCCCTCATTAAAATGCAAATCAAGTTATAACATTTTTTACATGCGTTTTTCTGGATTTTTTTGTTGTTATTCCGTCTCTCACAGTTCAAATAAACCTACCATTAAAATTATAGACTGATCATTTCTTTGTCAGTGGGCAAGCGTACAAAATCAGCAGAGGATCAAATACTTTTTTCCCTCACTGTACCTGATGACGGTTGCTTTTGTTGCAATCGAAACGTCGTATTCTATAATTTAATTTATTGTTTTTTCTACGTGACTTTACCGAAAGAACCAAAGAGTATCATCCATAATACAGGTTTTTTTGGGGGGGTAGATCGTGTAAATACAAATGTGTCGTTAAACAACCACCACCCGACACAGCCAATTAATAAGGTTTGTCACGTAAACGGAACGTGCCAATTCGTTACTAGTACAGCACACCGGTGTATTGGAGAGCAAATCCAGTACTAGAATTGTAAAAGTTGTGGATTTGCTCTCCAATACACCGGTGTGCTGTACTAGTAACGAATTGGCACGTTCCGTTTACGTGACAAACCTTATTAATTGGCTGTGTCGGGTGGTGGTGGGTTTAACGATGCATTTATATTTACGCAATCTAACCCAAAAAAACTGTTATAGATAATAAACACTGACTGATTGGCTGAAAACATCTTAATATGTAAAGAACTGCAGAGCAATTGTTGGCGATGCATGACAGCCTTCCAGCTTGTCTGTGGTTCCTCAGCAATTGTGAGATGCAATTTGGATAAACGATACTGTATAAAATTAATCATTGGATTTTTGTTTTTATCTTTAAAAAGTTCCCCTTCAGAACGGCGTGTACAGCCTCAGCACCCGTAATTGCCAAACGTCCCAATGCTTCAGCCAACGGTCTTAACCAATGAGCCAACGTCATCCACTTATACGTGAGCGTGATATAGCTTAGTTTAGCAATACATCACTGTGGCGCTATTCATGACATGGATTTCACAAAGCACTCCCGACAATCCACTTCCACAACAATACTTGGGCACATCAACATACACAAAGCTAAGTACGGAAATTCATGCAAATTATAATTATAGGAAAACAGATCTGGCTGGCCAATGGGCCACAAAGGTCTATAAACCCCTGAGAGTCACCCATGTTTGTGTCAACATCTCCGATTAGCCATGGTGGTCTGGAACAGCTTGCCAACTGAAGTCCGGTCAGCCTTGACAATCGGTGCTTTTAAGACCGGACGAAAATAAAGCATTCGTTCTCTATTCCGTTTAGTTTATTTTAGTTTCATCTTCTCAGTGCGATCTACACTTCTATCTCAGATTTTTGCTGAATATGGCACATGATAAATGTTGTATTGATCGGTTGGTGGTCTACCCACTGCTAGATTAAATGCCTCCCCATGTCGTTGCCATCCCTCGTTCTCCCACGATGCCGCAATTTATCTCACTCCTGCACATGAGCTGATGTCATCGCTGCTTCTCCTCTGCGGACGTCCTCTCAGCATGTTCCATACTTTGCCATTTCATCACCTGCCTCATCTGGCCGTGACCGTTCCTTCTATATCATGTCCCTCCCAAGCCCACTTGCTTTTATAAACAGTCAACGCGATGTCTCTGATGTGCTTTTGTTGTCTGGTCCACGTGTTGCTTCTTCTGCCTCTCGGCATAACTCCAATCATGCATCTCTCCATGTTTCTTTGCGTACTTTTCAGCATTGGTTTCAGTTTTATGTGCCAGTGTTCACCTTTCTGATCAATGTTATAGGTCATAACTTTACACACGTGTCAGGTGCTTGCAGGTTTAACGACACATTTATATTTACGTGGTCCAACCCAAACAACCTCTATTGTGGATAATATTGGTCACGAAAGCCTATGTGTTAAACTGAGACATATTGTCGTCCTTCCCCTGCACCTCCGATTATTAGTTGACTACGTATGGTGCGAAAGAGGTTCAACATACATAGATACATATGTTTCTTTTCATTATCAAGATCAGCTCTTTAAAATCACTGTAACTGGCTCCCTATGTTTCATTATTTTGATCTCGGTACGCTGTAAATAACTGCCCTAGGTATATTCTTGGTTCTTTCGGTAAAGTCACGTAGAAGGAAAACAATAAAATAATAATAAAATATAACAATAAAATTCTCACGACGTTTCGACTGCAACACAAGCAATCATCATCAAGTGTGAAAACCACAGCAATACATTTTGAAAAAAGTGGCAGTTATTTTTAACGTTAGCACCACGGAGAGCGATTTGACAGTTTGTTCAGGTGGACGAGTCCATCTATGTTCGGAAAAGAGGAGGGGGGAGACGAAAATAATGGATGCAGTCTGAAAGCCACCGTAAGCGTGAACAATCAATTAAGACCCGAAATGGCTTATCAAATCCTTCCAATGAATGCTAAGCCAGAATCCATCTTCTCGGTTGAAATTGTCTCTGTGTTTGTTTATGTGGGTAGCCTCATGAACGAATCTCTAATGGTAGCCAGATGGCTTGCAAAGAACCTCTATCTTGGAGAAGTCAATGTCATGTGAGCCTACTGAATTATAACAGTGATCTGCCACGGCCGAGGTGTTGGTCCTACTGTATTTTAGGTTTGCTTTGTGTTCACAAATGTGGTCCAAGACATGTCGTTTGGTTTCTCCAATGTAACTACTAACACAGAGGCAACTTAGTTTGTAGACGTCAGGGTACTGTATGTCCGGAATCACATATTTTACAGACAGAACCAGATCACGGATTTTATGTAATGTGTTGAATTGGACCTGGATCTTGTGTTTATTCAAGATTTTGGAGATCTTTTTTGTGATCCCCGCAATGTAGGGTAAAGTAATGGTTTGAAAGGCTCAAGAGGGTTCTTCTTCATTGATGGAGTGATAGCTTTGCGGATTGTGTAGTCGGAGTTAACCATTAGCCTTAAGAGCTTGGTGTACGTGCTTGAGTTCACTGGCTATGTGTTCCTAGTCGGATATGCATTGGGCTCTATGGTGCAGAATCTTGATGAGGAAATTCTTCTGGGATGGATGGTAGTGGGAATCCGGTTTCAGGTAAGCATCCGTATGGGTAGCTTTCCTGTAGACAGAGTGGCTCATTGAACCATCAGGTCTCTTTTTTATTAGGACATCCAAAAAAAAAGGTAGCTTGCCATCTTTTTCGACTTCCATGGTAAATCTGATGGCTGGGTGTATAGAATTGATGTGGTCGAAGAATTGGTCTAGAGCAGGCCTAGGTATGATTGTATGTGTAGGCTGTCATGACCAATATTATGATTCGTTTATTTCAGGGTTAGTTCGTGTAGGTAATTTTTTTTTATTTAAACATAACGCAGCCCTACTTGCAAGAGCCACTCAAATCTAGTTGCCACGTGGGAAAATATGGCCAATTTATTTGGTTTATCGGAAAACTGGAATGTTGAAAAGGAAGCTAAATTTTGACAGTTTCTTCCGACTGTTTTGCTGGAGATTAAAACCAGCATCATCAGGTGCTAACTAGAGCTCAGCTCTCGCGGTAGGCGAAGGCAGTACAGCAAGTGGACTAATCGCTATCTGTATACATCTGTATGGGGACAGAGTGTTGCCCTCTCGCCCGCGTAGGTTTTCTCTGCGTGCTCTGGTATCCTCCCACGTGAATAATAAACACACGTCATGCATTGGCTGAAATATATATATATTAAAATATAAACCCAATGCAGCAGGACCCTCCTGAAAAAGAGTCCTACTACTCACTGTGGTTCTCCTGGATACTCTCTTTGCAGTTGTGTGTCCCTCTGACACAACATGTTTCTAATTGCTAAGTGAACTTGATATAAATGATATCTAAGTGATGTGTAAGTGAACCCTGTGGAACGATAGCAAAGGACTTGATGATGATGATGATAATAATGGCTGTAAAGTTGGGCTGAAGATAACTGAGCAAAGAAAAATCTAGCACAATCAAGTGGATACAAATGTCTCAGTTGTAGTTAAAGGGATTTGAAAAAGACACCAACAGTGCAACACGTGTCACGATCTGAGCAACTCGCCACTCACAACGCAACTCAGAGGTGTTACGGTCTGAGCTTGTGAGATTGCTCAAAGTGACGATTTGATTCACTAACGATATAATACATTAAAATTGTGTTTTTTTATTATTATTAAAGAGCAAGCGTATTTATATATTAACTATTATAAAGGTTAACAACAACAAAAACGACAAACTGCGGTTGCTGTGCTGGGAGACGCTTTGCCATTGGTGTCACGCCCTTTCTCAAGCCACCCAACTTGTCGTTTAGTCCGGTTTAACATTTAAAAATAAATTGTGTCTCCTGCTTATGTGCACGTAGCGATGTTGTTCAGTATCCCGATATATTCCAGTGTTTATTTGCTCTGGCAAAAAAAGGTTATTTTATGATTATTATTACTATGAATTAAAAGTATTATTACTGCGTTGGCTCACAACTACAGTAATACTCTGAAGGACGTCTCCCCCTTTTACGTCGCTTTGCAAAAACGTCGTCACTTCATTATTCAAACCTCTGCCCGATGAGCGTCGCCCCAACCCCACACTCGCATCGCTGATAGCGTCGTCCGTCCTTTCTTGCTGTCCGTCGCCTCTCAGCCTTCGCCTGCACCACCTACCCACCTTTGAGGAATGCATAATCTGGGTTGTTACTGTCGCTCTAACTCGGTTAATTTTATCATCACGGTGGCCGGGTGGCTCAAAAGGTCAGAGTGCTGAGTTGGCACCATTGGATGTATTTCTTTCGGACCGTACGGCACCAACGGTGCTAATTGTATGGACCATTGAGGCACTGGGTTCGGATCCAGTGCTTGTTTGCGCTAGCGGTTCTAAAGCTGTTGACTTATCTGCTGTTTGCCAATTGGTGAATGCCTTGGGCATCCACGGGGTCTACTCGTGCCCTCCCTCTCATTCGTCGCATTGACTTTACAAACAAAATATATTTCTCAATCCGTCTGAAAATATACTCGACCTTCTTACAATCAAGTGAACCGTCAACCTTCTAGCTCTACTTCACGTTGATGTTTGTAAGTGGTTTGGCCATAACTGTATTTTAATTGATACATTCCACATATTTAGTTAATACTTACCTATCATACGTTAATTAAATGTATTAGGTGATAATCACGTTTCATTGTAATTTCTATTCAGTTAATTCACAATTGACCAACAGTTTGCAGCATGCCAGTCCCCCTCCGCCTTCCAGCGCTATCCCCTCCCCATATCAGCAAGGCTCCCCCACCCACCCCGATTCACCTGGCTTGGAGAGGTTTTACTCCAGTCCGTCCTGCACGACTCCAAAATGGGGAAGCACAATGAAGCACCAGCTTCTTAAGCATAACGCGGGGATCGATCGTTCGGTGAAGGAGAACACGAACAAGTACGGGGAGAGAGGCGAGAGCAAGACGGCGGCCCAGGGGAGCGGAGCGAAGCATCATCGATAGGGCATTGATCGGTGCAAAAGTGCCGTCGGCGATAGCTGGGGTAGAAAAACCGGATTCGAATTTGGATATTGAAGATTGGGATATTTTTCAAAGGTTGGAAACTTTGAAAGGATATATATACAGTGTTGGACGGTATCACAAACCGCACGCCCAATTGCCTGAATTACGCACGTACATGTGTGGGACCTATAATCATAATAGGACATTTTCAAGTTATTTGGTAGCAATTTAGGATTTAAGTGGCTTTTATCTGGTGGGGGGGGGGGGGGGGGGGGTGATCAGCAGTATCGGTGGCCGTCATTTTACAAGTTTGTTATAAACCTAATACCTCCATGACGCCGCATGTGACACCTTTGTATATCTTCGCTTGCAATTTGCCAGCCCATAGATCCCCTCGTAAAAGGGCGCACACTGGGCACAGACTTGTGAATTGTTTCATCCCTGGTCAGTGGGCATTCTTTTGATTCGCTATTTAAATGTGTACTTGGCATGCTGAGGCGGTCGCTTCGCCGTACCCGGCAGCTGCGAGGTGTCGCCATCTCCCTCCGCACCGCGACTCCGCTCTTCCATCCCCAGCCTTAATCCACCCTCGCGTTTGACTGAATTTGATACGGGAAAGGTATACATCGATTCGCTGCGGCCCGAGCACGATAACAATTCACACCAATTTCATAATTTGTAGCTGTCAATTAAACAGCGTATCACAAAATCGCCACGACTCACGATTGCTTGCCTAATTTAACAGAAAAAAATTGGTAAGAAAAAAAAAACCCACCTCATCGCTATCTCGACAGAGAAACAACATCCGACCTGAAGTGGGATCAATTGAAAAACCACGGCACGCAAAGGGCAGCTTTCGGCCGGCTCTCCATTACCGCCGCCCCCTTCCATAAAACCTGCACGGGGGCCGTAACTGAAAGTCCAAGATTGATGGTTCGATCCTTCAACTGTCACTTACAAGACTGGCTGGATGAAATGCTGGGTATTTTCAATATAACTTAATGTTTTCTTTTGATGCAGCTGACAACGTGTGTGTTATTGTTGCCTTGTGCAGAATGTGCTTCAGTCGTACAGTAACTTGGTCGCGGATATCCACAGGGAGCACTGGGAGGACACGTCAGTGGTGAGCATTATCATTTATGAGGCAATGTGCACCCCATTGTATTCAGTCTTTATACAGTGAGGGAAAAAAGTATTTGATCCCCTGCTGATTTTGTACGTTTGCCCACTGACAAGGAAATGATCAGTCTATAATTTTAATGGTAGGTTTATTTGAACAGTGAGAGACAGAATAACAACAACAAAATCCAGAAAAACGCATGTCAAAAATGTTATAAATTGATTTGCATTTCAATGAGGGAAATAAATATTTGACCCCCTCTCAATCAGAAACATTTCTGGCTCCCAGGTGTCTTTTATACAGGTAACGAGCTGAGATTAGGAGCACACTCTTAAAGGGAGTGCTCCTAATCTCAGCTTGTTACCTGTATAAAAGACACCTGTCCACAGAAGCAATCAATCAATCAGATTCCAAACTCTCCACCAGAGAGTTCACTGTTCAAATAAACCTATTAAAATAATAGACTGATCATTTCTTTGTCAGTGGGCAAACGTACAAAATCAGCAGGGGATCAAATACTTTTTTCCCTCACTATATCTTTAAATATTTGCTTCAGTTTAAATGAGAGAAAAAAAATTGTGCATCCTAAAATACCCGTTGCTTGTGATGAATGCAGTCCTAGAAGGCCGTGAGACTGATGGGATGTGTTCAAACTTACTTTTTTTACGTGGAGAGACCGATATGAGGAAGTATATTGTTCACTAGCTTATTTGTTATTGTCTTGTTTATTAAATTTGTGACATTTTAAAGTGAGCGTGAGCACTGCTGTACTGAGCAATAGTGGTAAAAACCTCTGTTCGGGAGCGACTCGCTTTTGACGCAATTACATTTAGCACATTGGGTCACGAGAGAATATAAAACAAACGGATGGGGATTTGTGTTCGGCAAAACAACATCTTAATGCTACCACAAACAACTCACCAGTAATTAAAATATAATTTCCCTAAGCAGTATGAGCCACTGATGAATAGTTTCGTGGCTGTTCAGTTCGTATCACATTTTCAATGTTAATTATTATTCAGATTTAGAAAATCTCATACCTATGAGACTAACACGAGCTTGTTCGAGATCCCGCTTATAAACATCCTTGATATGGCACAGCTGTCTGTGCTGGTTAAAATCTTTGTTAATATAATTTTCCAATGCACTCGATATGTATTCCATGCGTCAGTTTAGTTTTATTTGGGTAATGAACCCAAGGTCTTGAAAGTTGATGTGACTTTTTAGTACCTTTGTAGAAACTTCTAGAGGTCCTCATGATCCACCAAGGCACCGTTTGGAGCTTTGTGATTCTCACGATTCCTCGTCCGGAATCATGATTCTAATCTTAGAATGGAATCTGATTCCTTCCAAATGGGATCAGCGTTTTTGGAATTGGGGTCGGCCAGATTACAAGTAACCCAGCACAGCGTTCAGGAATGGCCTTGGGGGGTTCTGGCTAGTCTATCGGAATTGCCACCGACTTGTTTCATGCCAGAATCAGGGTGGAAATGAGCCAATTGCATGCATTACTATACATTAGCGATGCATTGCAATGCATTCAATGGGCAATCTGGCCATCTGGAGGAGGCATAATCAACAAACTGGCTGCTTGCTTAGCTGTGCCAAGCAAAGCTGAAGCTTATCTAAAGTTAGTTTTGCAATAGAATCGCAATAGAATCAGAGTAGAATCCCATTATTTTGCTAAAATCTTCCATTGCAGAATCTAATTGATATGAATGTAGATTTAAAATGGGAAATCGTCGATAAAAGAATCACAATTCCTGCATACATTGTCTGTTTCTGGTGGAATTGCAGGAATCACATGACCTGCAGACAAACTCCCATTTCTATTCACTGTCTCAAAATATATTTATCGCAGCGACCTATTATTGTCTTGATGTGTTGTTAATTTGGTAATGTTTGTGTTTATTCTTCCAGATTTATTCTGCAATTTCTAACTTCATGGACATGCTGGAAGGTTTTCTGCACATAATAGGAGAGGGGATGAAATATTACTACGACTCGTACTTTGTAAAGGAGAATTTAGGTAAGTGCTGTTTACAAATGACACGATTGCTAAACTCTTTAAGTGGAAATAAACCTTGAGGCAATCTTTCTGGCATCACAGTCGATACGCTTACAACATCTTGCACTTTCGTCCTGGCAGGAAATGTAAGGTTACATTCCAAAATAATTAGATGGCAAAATGTGATTTCGGGAAAGAGAAAAGAAAAGTGACTACATTATTTAATTGAAATATTTTCATATCACGTTTTAAGAAAAGATCAGTATCAGGTTCAGCAATATGGCACATTCTGAAGCAAATAACCTGAAAGCTGAAAGGATGTGGAGAGAGATACACATGCTGGGAATTAACGCTGAGAGATAGAAAGAAGAACACATGGATCAGAGATCTGGTTGGTGGCTCAGGGCTGAGAGCACAGAGCTGGTGCCGGGGAGATTCGAGATTCTAATCAGGGGAGAAACCTGTGATTAAACTGCCTTCTCAAACGTCGTGAATTAATGGTCTTAAGCCCAGACACCAATCATTGTCTGCAAAAAAAAGGAAAAACCAAAATAGAAACATTTGCGGTTTAATCTTGATTTGAAGCTTTCGTGACTGCAGAAATCCATACTCACGTGACTTTACCGAAAGAACCAAAGAGTATTTGTGGTTTAATTTATTTTGCCTAAATTCCAGCTCTGAGACGTATACATTGCGGTTATTCTATGATGTCATCTTCCTGGGCCGTTTTCTGCCACAGGGGTGATCCACTGCTAGCTGTAGTGCTTCTGAAGAGACATTTCTTCATCGTCTGAAGCCGACAGCCTAATTCGAATAAAACTGCGAGAGGGGGGAGAAAGAAAAACAAAGATTAAAGTTATCTTGGCCAGGACATGTAGCCAGAAGGGATGATTGCCAACGCACAAGATTGGTGACAGAATAGCAGGGGAACGTGGCTGTAAGGTTTTCCATCACAGGAGCGCAAATGATGTTTACATAGGGAGGACTTCATCTAACAGTGGATAGATAATGGTTGACGATCATGATGATGAACCTGTGAAAAAAATGCGCTGTTAAATGAATGATCATTAAGTTGAGCACAATGACTGACCGCCACAAGTGTGGAGATGTCTTCAAATCAACAGGGCTTCTTTCAATTATTTTAACTGCCAGTACAGAAGTCTCTATTCACTGTGCATTGAGGATGTGCGGCGAGCACAAACTCTGTGCCTCATAAAATTATGGTTATGCTCAGTATTTTGAAATAGGTTTTGCTTCAGGAATCTGGATTGTATATCATAATGTAGGTATTTCATTAGAATTCTCAACAAGGTACCCTGCTTAATTTTTTTTATCTCAAGTAGCACACCGCTCGCCTGCCACGTGAATGTTTATGCGACGCACGGCCGTCGGAAAACATTTGTTGCTTGTATTTTTTTAATGAAATATGTGCTTTCCAGTGTTTTTGCTTATCTTGCGTACTTCCTCAGTGGCACATCTCTGCACATTAGGTGTAGTTATTACCGTAGGATTAGCGCGAACAATCACGCGTATTTCATTTTGCAGCTGAGAACAAGTAATTAGTTTATGTGGACACTGTACTGGTATATACCCAACCTGCATCCCCCAGGCATTTACAGATTAATGTCCCAATTGGTTTTACGCCAATGATGCTGCCAAGCAGTGTGTGTGTGCCTCTCAGTTTGAGTGTGCCTCTCAGGCCAGCGAGGATGTGCTATAGCGCACGCCGGATGAGTCTCCTTTATGTCCAGCAAGCTGTAGACATTCCTATTACGTTTACAGGCGCCAAGTGCGGCAGGATAAGACGTCGGCAAGCATATCAAGAAAAAGAAAGCTGCAAAAAATATTGATGCAAATTTGACTGAGAAAATGTGTTTCGCATCGATAATATTTTGGGAGTAAATTAAAATTTACGGGAATGTTTTTTTTTTTCCTCCAGAATCCAGTTGTTTTGGGTTAGATCACGTGAATATATAAATGTGTCGTTAAACCCGCCACTACCCGACACAGGCAAGTAGCAAGTTTTGTCACCTAAACACAATGTGCCAATACGTTACAAGTACAGCACACCGGTGTAAATCCACAACATTTACAATCTGAGTACGACGTTTTTGCCAGTAATTACAACCAGCTTCATCAGGCGACAGCCAGTTGAGTTCTCAACTTTTGCCATCCGGTTTGTCTAGGGAGTGTTTTTTTTCTCCACTTCTTATGTCAGTGCCACTTGGTAAATGGTAAAGGTGCAGCTCTGTGATTGCTTGACTGAAGGCGAAAGAGTCTCCACTAGAATGAGGATATTTGTCCATATCCTGCATGCTGACTTATTGCGTTAAAAGAAGTGGGAGTACCCACACTTTACCCCATCACATTCGACCTGCTGATCAATGAACTGTGGTCTATTCAACTAATACTTCTCTATGGTCAGAGACTTGCAAATCCCACGGACTGCAAGTCTAATGCGCTCATCATTATAACACGTGTCATTGTGCAACCGGTTATAAACAATGCACTCAGCCTCATGATTCGATAACATTTAAATTGTTTGTCAGGCTATTGGCGTGTGCCTTTGCAACTGTACATTTTGCAATATGCAATAGCTCTGAGAGAGAAAGATGCTTCGGATGATTCAGTTTCAGGGCTCATCTGAACGCGTTCAGTGTTTGTCAACCTCTGCGCATGGTGCAGAGAATTCAGAGCCGTCGAAACGATCATCACGTTGCCGTTGTTTTTTTTATTTCCACCTTTTTCTGAACCGGGATAAACAATTCAATTCCATAAGCAGTTTCGTTTATGCAAAAATGGAACATGTAATTTATATATATTAACATTGAATCAAATTTGATTTGTTGAAACCATCGTGGAAAATAATAAAAGTTAATTCATGCAGTACTTGTGTATTACAAGCTTTTAAAAAAGCTCCATGGGTGCACGTTTGAATGCATTTATATTTTAATAAAGAGATCATTTCAATCTTGATTTGAGATAATTTCAATCAATGATCATATTGTTATGCCTGTCAGATCCCCATTTTAACTCATTACAGTTCTACAAATATAATCCGTGCAATTTCAATATTTTCATGTTTTGTTCTTTGCAATACTGTCAATGCATCGCCACTTGTTAAAGCCAGCTAGCCGACCCAAAACATTCTTCAGTACCGTATAGGTAACATCAAATGGGAACAGCATAAAAACGTGGGGTTAAAAAAAATAACATCATGATATAAAGAGAGTTAGCATTTTGGGGCATGAGAATGTGCTCATTCTTTATATTTTTGGTCATGTCCCTCACAAAGCAGTGTAGAGAACTATCTGCTTGGATAGAGAAATATCCATGGAAGCAGATATCACAGAGCTACCACTGAGACCCCCTTCAAGTGACCTCTGCTTTACACACTAGGGGGAAGATCTTGCTCCCACCTATTTCTGTCACTGCAGTGCTATTAATCAGGATGCAGTCAAAACCGACAATATTTAATTCTCAGAGCTGGAATTCAGTCAACTTACGTGCATGACCAAATTGAATGTGAATAGTTTTTTTTAAAATAGCAATTATAAAAACGTACCCCTCTCATATGAGGATTTTCTGATTACATAATGAGCCCCACTGCCCCACTCTTGTTTACCACATCACAATCTCCCCATCCCCAATCTCACACCTAACAGCCAACGATCTCCAATAGACCCTTGCAATAAGAGATTGGTGACTGGATGGTAGGTATGCGATGAATCACCACACGCGATTGTATGAAGTGTCATGATTCAGGGTTGCAATTCTGTTCATCAGTGTTCTTTTACGTCTAGTCTCGTTCGTATTGTGACCCTGGTTTGTTCTCTCTCATGCTTACCACTTTTATTACCTTTATTCACCTACTACGTTTTAAATAAATATTTTAAGAAAACTGTTGCACACATTTGAAATGAAGGACGTGGGCAGGTGCTCCAAATCGAGGGCAAACACATTTATTGTGGTTAATCTGTAAAATGCAACAGCACGTGGTGTCACACACATCAATGCTCAACCGAGTCGCCATTAACCACGTGACTGGTGTACGTCCGGTTAATCAATAAGTTTCTCTTACACCCAATTATACTACTGATAAACCATCTTTGTCTTTGACAATAACCTTTGCACTTTACTATTCGAATATTACTTTAATCCTAAGCTGTATGTCTATCTATACCATACATTTATATCGGTATCTTACACCCATTATCTGTACTGTATGTGTACAGTACTCTTACTATACTTGTCACCATTGTACAACTTACTACTGTACATGTGTTCTATTCTCAATAGCATTGCAAGTGGTCATACTCTGGGTGCATGGTTATAGAATAAACAGTATGAGGGTTTAATAAATTACAAGTATTAACTGCAGTACATCATCCTTTAGTGTACTGTGCTAAAACCCCTCCTATGGAATATATCACAAACTAACAATTAAAAGCCAAGCTTGAAGTCTAGAACAAGTCTATAACAATTCTATAACGATCAAAAACAACCTTTGGGTCCTCTACCTGTAGAATGCAACAGCACGTGGTGTCACACACAGCAATCCTCAACCGAGTCGCCATTAACCACGTGACTGGTGTACAAGTCCGGTTAATCAATAACCCTGCCAGCCACCCACAGGCCCAACTCAGTTATCGCGTGCTGGTGTACACATGTGCATTGATGTACTGCACAGCACATAAGGACTTTCATAAAACCACACTTTACTCCCTTGCTGCACGAGGAAATAATTAAAAGAGTGGTCCATTCCTAATATGCTACAAAACTAAGAAAATGAACACCTTCACAACCATTGTATTTAAGAACAACTGGGCCACTGCAGGTTACCGAAGTCACACCCGACCATATTTGTCTTTTACATTGCATAGCAAGAATGCTTAATGCAGCATCAGCCAAACCAAAGCAATTCACCAAAACCCCTCATCGCAGACTCATCGCAAGCCATCCTGCATGGCTCCCCTGTTCCCTCTGCATGTGAAATGTAGACCCACCTAAAATAATAAACTGGTTTGAAATAGTCTGGCTTGCCTTTGCTCCAGTGCAGATTTATCAACATTAGATTGTGGCGGGAGGTAGTGTACTCCGTAAAGTGCAGGAAGATTCTGGTGATCCTGTCACATTCCCTGGCCCTCCACAAAACATGTTGTAGAACCTGCACTATTCCTTTCCTGGGCCTCCACTGTGTCACTTCTACTATGTATAAGTAGCTACAGCTGTAGTGTGAAGATCAACAGTGGACTGGCAAAGTTGGTGAGGCATGATTCTTTTCACAACCACTGTAGCCCTGCTGGTCCATTTAGTGAATTATTATTGAGAGTATTCTCAAAGAGGACTAGCTCTGTCCATCTGTCCATGGTAAAAAGAGAGGCACTAGTTAGTCTTTGTTTTTGTTGTATTATAAACTGTATGCTCATTATTAATAGATGATACAAGTTTCCTTTCCTTGGAATGTTACATGAACCAGTGTGTAGACATTATTTATAGATCGCATTATGCTCTTAAATCGAAATTATAATCCATGATGGCTGATAAATGGTGCTTATAATTGTAATATGTGTATTCATATTCTTAGTTCTTTCGGTAAAGTCACGTTGAAGGGAAACAATAAAATAATAAAATATATATATAAAACAATAAAAATTCTCACGACGTTTCGACCATAACACAAACGGTCGTCATCAGGTGTGTCGGTTTGCATAAATTTATTTATTTAAAAAAAACGGTGTATTTATTTATAAAAAAAACGTTAGCGCCACGTGCAGCGATTTGGCAGTTTATTTAGAAGGACTAGTCCATCTATGTTCTGAAAAGAGGAGGGGGGAAACGAAAAATTAATGTATGCTGTCTGAAAGCCACTGTAAGCGTGAACAATCAATTAGGACCTGAAATGGTTTGTTCACGCTTACAGTGGCTTTCAGACAGCATACATTAAATTTTTCATCTCCCCCCTCCTCTTTTCAGAACATAGATGGACTAGTCCTTCTAAATAAACTGCCAAATCGCTGTGCGTGGCGCTAACGTTTTTTATAAATAAATAAATACACTTTTAAAAATAAATACATTTATGCAAACCGACACACCTGATGACGACCGTTTGTGTTATGGTCGAAACGTCGTGAGAATTTGTATTGTTTTATATATTTTTATTATTTTATTGCTTCTCTTCAACGTGACTTTACTGAAAGAACTAAGAATATGAATTACTGCAGTCACGGAAGCTTTAAATCAAAATGTAATATGTGTATTTGTGAATTTTATGTATGTTCAGTGAATGATATCCAAAATATTTTTCTAAAGCAGTGGTTCTTAACCTGGGGTGCACACACTCCCTGAGGGCATCTCGCACGCCCTGGGGGTACGAGACATGGCCAGATTTTTTTAGAAGGTAAAGCACCGAAACAAATTAAGCAGGGGCACGGAAGTGCAACTACATTGTTTCATCAAACCTATATTATTTATTAACATAATTTTTTTTAAAGTTTGAGAACCAAGGCGTGCAAGGCTGCAGTAAAGGTTAAGAACCACTGGTCTAACACAACATCAAATGGCAGTAGAATAGGTGTGTGAGTAATGATACATGGATGTGGTGTGTCAACAGTTTTGACAGTGGTAGGACCAATAATCCATTTGGCTGAATTAGTAATCATTTAATATTCCCGCTAATGATGCACTTAAAAAATATATAATTTGAGTTACATTGGGGTCATCGTCTATTTTCCCAAGCCTCTTGCAAACTTGCTCAAGTAAAATAAGTGCACAACTCGGACCGCATTCGTGAACACAAAGCAGACCTAAAACACGGTAGGACCAACACCTCGGCCGTGGCAGATCACTGTTATAATTCATTAGGTTCACATGACATTGACTTCTCCAAGACAGAGGTTCTTTGTAAGCCATCTGGCTACCATGAGAGATTCGTTCATGAGGCTATCCACATATACAAACACAGAGACAATTTCAACCGAGAAGATGGATTCTGGCTTAGCAATCATTGGAAGGATTTGATAAACCATTTTGGGTCTTAATTGATTGATCACGCTTACGGTGGCTTTCAGACCGCATCCATTATTTTTCGTCTCCCCCCTCTTTTCCGAACATAGATGGACTCGTCCATCTGAACAAACTGTCAAATCGCTCTCCGTGATGCTAACGTTAAAAAAACGCCACTTTTTTCTAATTTTCTTGTTGTGGTTTTCACACCTTATGATGATTGCTTGTGTTGCAGTCGAAACGTCGTGAGAATTTTATTGTTTTATATTTTTATTATTTAATTGTTTCCCTTCTACGTGATTTTACCGAAAGAACCAAGAATATGCACAACTCTTGTCTATTACATCATCAATAATATTGCATTGCATGTTTGCCGATTGCTTGGTACTCTGACCCTTTGGGCTCAAGGTTGCCCAGCAACCGTGGACTTTTAAAACGACGCTTGCTGCGAGTAAGCGGGACTTGTGACGGTCGGTGCGATTTGCAGTGGTCGGAGTGAGCAAGCTGTCGGCCGCTGACGTGGCGGGAGACATTGTGTTCCCGGTGAAGGGCCGGCGCGGCATGCCGGACTGGGTGCGTGCGTCCAACGACCGCGTGCTCATCTCGCGCAGCTCGTTCGCTCGCGCTTCTGCCGGTAAGTTTCCCGAACGCTGCGCCACACTCGCATGCTGGGGCTTGGAAGCGCCACGGTGGCGTAAGCTGTCTTCCTCGCCTGGAGGTTCCATCCCGATGGTGACGCCTGCTGTATATTTTGAGTTTGCGTGTTCTCCCCCTCCCCATGGTCGCGTGGTTTTTTTTCTCCCTCCACATTTAGAAACATGCGTTCAGATTAATTGGATGATTATTTGGCTCCTATAAATGTCCACGTGATAATCCACTTCGTTGAGCTATCATTTGTGGCCAGGTCACTTCTGAGAAGGAAGTTAATAGCTCAGTGGGCTATACCTTGTTATAATAAATAAAAAAAAGTTTAGTTGTATTTTTTTGGTAATTTGCTTACCTTTCCTATACTTTGCACTTCTATCGTGTTTTTGTATAGTCGTTGTAACGTTCTGGCCTGCCCCTATTGGACATCTGTGACAAAGAGCTTTATAGCTCACTGGTTCAGAAAGCCTGTCTTCACCAGGCAAAGGTTTTCAAAAAATGTGATATATTTCAAAGATAGATTAGTTGTTACTGCCAAATTTCAGTCAATAAAGATTTGTATCAACATTTTTGACGTACAAAACATTGTTAATGTTTAAGTAACATTCGACTAAATAAATCTGACACTGAGTTCTGTATATATTGCATTGCATAGATGTACCATGTAGTGAGAGCTGCATTCAACTTTTAAGATTTTTAAATAGTATATTTAAGTAAATTTGTTTTTAAATAGGAATCTTAATTGTACATTTATCTAAGATGAGACACTAACAGCTATTTAAAAAAAATAGTTTTTCCGCAAAAAAAATTGTTGAGGACTTGATTAAACTTCTTATATTTAAAGATGTACCCATCGGAGACCACTCAAGTTAAACATTCCGTTCTTTTTTATCAGAAAGAACAAACATTTATGAACTCAATACTCTGAGGGGAAGCTCCTATCTTTCACAGTTTTTGAATTATTCAGATTTGAACATCATGCAAATCGTATTTTTTTCATTCAAAACCGCTTGAATCCAAAATATCTCAAGAACAATCAATATAGAACAATGGTTCTCACTTTAATTTTATTTGCCATTTAACGCTCTGTAAAATTAAAAGAAACAGTCTTATATTTTGTATGGTTTGTAAATGACACGAACAAACATGTTTACGGGGAAATTTAAATTAAGATTTGGGGGCCTTCTAATGAAAAATCTCGGATTTTCTGATTTTTCCTGTTGTTTCTGTCCCAAAAGCTGTGTAATGTAGCTCTCAGAGACACCGTCTTGTCTTTCTGTATATTTATTATGAATGAAGTCCACTGGCAACGATTAACCACGAGTATCTACACTTGGAAAGTTAGACGATTCTATTATGAGATAACATAGCTCTAGTCTCAAGACAACTCAAAGAAGATGGAGACGACCCGTTCCAAGGTGACAATGACGACGGCAATTCCCCACACCAACAGCCCCCAGGTCCGGTTCGCGCCAGCTCTTATGCCTCGCCCGATCCGGCCACGCACCTATTCTCGAATTCTCCTAACCACACCTGGCTCTGTCAACCTCCACCCTTATTACACTTTTCCGCCATTGGATCCCATGCTCCCCCTCACGTGACCCTGTCAATGCTTGTCCCATCAATCATCATTAGCACGTCCATTCGTAACCATGGTCCCGGGGAACCATACTGTCCCTCTATCGCTTCGTACTGTCTTTACATCATCCCCCCCTTCTCTTAAAAAGATAGCCGTCCTCGGCTTACATACTTTTAAACAACTTATTTTAGGCCGAATCAACCCTTTAACACAACACATAATACATGTTCTAAGATTGAAGGGGAACAACTTACTCCTTAGAAGAACAATGTGGACAACCACAACCAACCCAACAACAATGCCAAATCTTCTTTGGTTCTTTCGGTAAAGTCACGTAGAACGAGAATAAAATAATAAATTGATAAAATAAAATAACAATAATATTCTCACGACGTTTCGGCCACAACACAAGCGGCCTTCATCAGGTGAAGGGACGAGACTGTCTCGAGGACAACGCTGGAGTGAAAAAGCCACGCTTAGATCACGACCTTTAAGCTGTGTGAGAAGAAACAAAGCGCCTTGACAAAGGAATTAGCATAGAATTTAGTATTGAAATGGCTGAGTGATTAGCTTGTGACTGGTCACAGAAATGGCTATGTTAAAGTTAAAGCATACACATCCACAGAGGCACCCATTGACAAAGGAATAAGCTTTAAATCGAAACAATGCCAAAATCCGAACAACGCACTCAACGCATCCCCCGCGATCACCACTTCAAGCCTCGAACATTTTTAACACACAATCGCCCAAAAACACACAAGACAACCAACAATTTCACGGCGATCCATCAACAAAATGTCCAGTTCTTGACGTCGGTCCTTCTCCCCGGGCAGATTTGTGGCCGTCAATGGCCAAAAGAGCTTGCACTTCTGACGCCAGGGATTCGCAACTGAGGTGGAACAACACACATCCCTCGGCATCTGATTACTCCGGCCCACTGGCCCGGCCCGTCCGACACCCCAGACTCCGACCGCACAACATTGGGGATGAATGATTCAAGTCTAAAATGAACATACGGCTCCAAGCTTAGCTTATGGACAACTCAGCGGCGACATCTCACTCGCCCGTGCCCACACCGCGGCCGTCGTATTTCAACAACCTCAACCGGCCATTTCCCTGGCCAGTGCAATTTCAGGGACGAAAGCAATGGCACTTCGCAACCGACTCAGCCATGCTCTATCCCATACTACACCTCCTCTAACATGCATACTTTTGACATATCATCCAGCCTGACCTACAGGTTTTAATAGTAATGAAGGTTTGTACCTTCTTAAGGCCGGACCCCATCCAACATACAAAGGGTTGAAATTCCACGGCCAACATTCAATCAACAGGAATCGTATTCAACAGGAGTCGCACTCAACAGGGGTTGCACTCAACCTCTTGCGCCCCAAACAACTTAGGTTCAACTGCAATAACTCACCCTTCCATGCTTCACAGCATGTGTCCTAACACACTCCTGTCTCAGCGGTTGGCCCGAACCCGTCGCTCCTTGCTAACCTCGCTTAAGCAATACCTTCTTCACCTGAACCCCAGCAATTTCCATATCCCCGAATAGAACATGCAGGAACGGTTTCCAATTTTCACTTAACAGCATTAGCACCCAGAGCAGTGCGAGTCCGCGGCCCTTCCGCTCTAGATGGGCCAAGGAGGACCTCCGTATCCTGCCCGCCAGGTCAAACCATTCACAACACGCAACGGGACCACTATAACTGAATAAAGTGAGCCCCCCAGCCCACTGCTCCGGACGTGCCACGGAGTGTCTCGACCTCCGGGCTGTCAGGTCAAACCGTCTGCTGCAACACGACGGGACCACTACTCCCGAGCAATATGAGCCCACAGTCCAGTGCTCTAGATGTGCCACGGAGGGTCTCGACCTCCGGGCCGTCAGGTTAAGCCATCTGCCCCAACACGACAGGACCACTACTCTTGTGTCAGGCGGATCTCTAGAGATTCCTTGAATTTTACCTGAGCCAACTAATGCTCGCCGATGGGGGATCCACGTAACATTCGTGGCCCCATGGAATCCGAACACACCCTGGTCATTCAACAATTTCGGGGCATCTTGGTCAGGATCCGTGCCCCAGAGATAGGCCACAGCCAGCGTCCCAATCCAATGCTGGCACCCCATCTCAACCTCCTCTTTGATGCAGGCTACAACACCCAAAATTCCTACGTTCGCCACTACGCATGTAATCACCACAGCGAACCCAAACGATCCCTTAATTTAAAGGACTTCGTGACAAAACGACTTCAGAATCACAAGTTCAAGGCACTCATCCCTTAACTCATAATTTCACACCATACACACCATCTACGATTCCCGATGAACCAGCCGCCTCTACCACTACTCGGCCCACCAGCTTCCGCCACTGCGTGCCCGAGTTTAGCCTCTACGAATCCCCGATGAGACTGATGCTTGAGGTGGTTTTTAGCGGTCGGGTATCTGGTGCATCACGACTCGCCTGGGCTGGGACGTAGCTATCCACAAAGCGGTGGACGCAAGGGGCTCCATGATGTCTCCACGACACTTGACATCCCCGCACGAAGTGTCGAAGCTGGCCACAGTGGAGCAGGCGAGCCTGGGCGCGTGCGGCGAAGGCGCCAAATTGGACTGGGATCGCCACTCCCGGAGCCGTCCTGACATCCCCCTTAACCGCCGGTCCCCTCCATAATCTGCTGCCGTCACTTCCCCCGTAGACTCCGTTTCTTCCTGCGACGGCTCCACAACAATCTTGGATTGTCAGCCAGCTCATTCGTCTCCAAGCCGAGATTGTCCAATCCATGCAGCCACCCAAGTCTGTCTTCGCAACGTTTTGCACGCTTGCAGGCACCACTCGGGCCCGACAGTGGGTCATATACTGCTGACATCTCCTTGTAGGCATCCTGAAGCATAGCCCTCTTCTTCGTAATGGCCCAGAACACTGCGAGGCCATCATCGTCAAGAGCCGTAGGCAAAGCTCTCAATGCTTCCTTCTTCGTCCAGCCGACAGACCGGTATGCTGCTCCAACCCGGCGGGTGAAGGCGTTTCAATCCTCCCCCGCCGCTGTAAATTCACTGATCAAGGGCAACCTTCATGGTTGCTTGGCGGCCCCTCGCCTCGGCGCCCGAGATGACACCGCTTCTGCTGCCTCCCGCGCAGGCTTCAAAATGGCGGCCGTCGGTCGCGTCACCTCCCGCGAAATGGCGGCCCCCGACCGCGTGGTATCCAGCGCGGGAACGCCGACCGCAGGCGGCCACTCCACCATCCCTGCGCGACTTTGCGGCTCGTCCCCAGCTGCGCCGGCTCTCGAAGTCGCCGGCTCTCGAAGTCGCCACCAACTCAGCGATGGTTGAACGGAGCCGATGTGCCTCGGCCACCAGGTCTTGCCACTCTTCTGTCGCAGGTGCCACTTTTTCTGCACCCTCG